TATTTATTTATTTATTTATTTATTTATTTATTTATTTATTTATTTATTTATTTATTTATTTATTTATTTATTTACCATGTCTACTCGGGGCGGCTTACAAAATAAAATGGATCAATATAAAATATATATAATCATAAAATACAATTGCAGTATTAATTAAGACAATTTAAGGAAGGATTACCAATATGGGATAACATAAGAAAAGAAAAAATAAAAGAGACTTAGTTGACTGGAGGGAAGGCCTGCTTAAATAACCAAGTTTTTAACCCAGTGAGGGTGCCGGCTGAATTTCTGTTGGAAGGGTGTTCCACAGCCGAGGGGCCACCACCGAGAAGGCCTGGTTACTAGTTTTTTTCCTTCCGGGCCTCTCTTGGCGTCAGACCCCTCAGCCGTCCCTGCTGACTATGATGGGTGATTCGGGTAGATCTGTGTGGGAGAAGACGATGTGCCAAATATTGAGGTCCCAAACCGTTTAGGGCTTTATAAGTGATCATTAGCACTTTGAAGTCAACACGGAAATGGATGGGCAACCAGTGCAAAGCAGCCAGAGTGGGGGAGATATGATGTGTTTTCTCACCCCACTAAGGAGCCTGGCTGCCATATTCTGGACCACCTGAAGTTTTCGTGTCAGCCTCGAAGGCAGCCCCACGTAGAGTGTGTTACAATGGTCTAATCTCGAGATTACGAGCACATGTACTAGAGTAGTGAGGGCCCCCCGATCAAGATATGGACGCAGCTGGGCAATCCGCCATAGATGAAAATAGGCGGAGTGGACCATGGACACCACTTGCGTTTCCATGGTAAGCGCCGGGTCCAGATGTATCCCCAAACTGATGGACCTCACTCTTTGCGGCAAGGGTCGTCCCCCCCGAAAGAAAGGGAGTTACCTATACTGCTGACGGAAGGACCACCCACCCTCAAGACCTCCATCTTGTCTGGGTTCAGCCTTAACCCGTTCAACTGCATGCATTCCAGTATAGTCTCCAGGCAGCACTGAAGGGATAGAACGCATCCACTGAGGTAGATGAAAAGGAGATGTAGCACTGTGTGTCATCAGCATACTGGTGACACGATGCCCCACACCCCCTGATAACCCCCCCAGCAGCCTCATGTACTAGACTAGGGATTGTAATCCGCATAAAGGTGGAGATTCCAGTCCCCCTAAAAAGGTGTTTTGTGTACAGCATAATAAAACAGCTAATGCGGCAGTTGAAACTAGCTGTGGAGCTGTTGCCATAGCAACACAAGTAACAGAAGGGTCGGAGAGCCAAGATCTCTCTGAGGCCAGGGTTGTTCAGTGCTTTCTGATAGAATGTAATCAGAATCTTCTATGTAGCTCAAAAGATGTTATCTATGTTAATTATAATAAGTATATAGCGCTCAAAGATTCTTGTTCACAAGTTACAATATGTCACCCTGATATAGTCCCAAAGGAAAATGTTAGACCATGAAAATAGTTGTATTAAAGAGATTGAGTCTGAAACAGTGGTGCTGCCCGTGGCAAAAATACCAATGAGATATAAGGGATGGTCTGGAGTTTGGAAGGTGGCCATATCTGATCAAATTCCTGCCCCATGTTTAATAGATCTGGATTTAGCTGAGCATGTGCAGAGTGTTTTTGTGACAACTTGCTCTCAGGGAAGGCAAATTGAAGCCACTGAGGGACAAGATGGAAATCTTCCTGAAATAAGAGGAGAGACACAGGAAATCTGGTTATTCTGAGAAACTCTAAGAATCTATATTTCATCAAAGAACAAAAGGAAGACCCTACCTTAAATGAGTGCTTTGCACAAGTTAAGAAAATTCTACTGACCCCTGAAAATCCTGAATGATGTCCCAGTCTAGAGGAAAACCCTGAGATAGTAGAAATAGCTGAGGTGGTCATATCGAAAATTTTTAATAATACTTCCTTTATTTTAGAACAGAAGGAAGATACCACCCTGATTCCGTGTTTAGAGAAAGCCAAAGAATCTTCCTTCCCATTATCTCCTGAATATCCAGAGAGGTTCAAGGTTGATAAACACCTGTTATATAGGGAAGTTTTATTAACATCTCATAGGAGTGGAGATGGACGTCTCAAACAGCTAACTGCCCCTGTAAAATATAGGGAGAAGTCCTTAGAAGTAACAGAGCCAAGCTTGGGGGGTACTCATGCAAAGGAGGAAGGCTTGTATGAAGCCCAGGAAAGAGCATTCTGTCCTAAGGACAAAGTGGTGAGGCTGAGACTCATAGAAAGGAGTGAATTGCTGTTGGCATGGTCAGAACCTGTGGATTTGTTGCAGCAGAACTGGAGTGCTTAGGAGTCTAGTTGCTCTGCAGCTGCAAAAGCACTTAAAACCTTGCAATGCAAAACCCTACCTAAGAAACCAAATATTAAAGATATAGAACCAGATGATGAAATTCCCAATGCTCCCAATGCATCTAAAATATTTTTCAGGATTTTGCCTGATATGCTTGCAGAGACTAACATGGCTACCTCGTCCAAAGCTACTTTTAAGCAGCAGCCTGACATGTAGAAATCAGGCTTTCCCTGTTAATCTGTACCAATAAATAGGAAAAGAATAGCTAAATTTGCTAAATTTACAAGTGTTAGCTGTTGTTAAAAACATATGAGTAAGGCCAGGTCTCTAAACCAAGTAGTTGAAGGGACAGGAATATTTGTGTCTTCTTAATGAAGCAAATAGTTGTAAAAAGGGTAGAATCAGAAAAACAAAAACCATAAGGCCTTATTTTACGTTGGTCCCTTCGACAATGGTCTTCATGCAGCGACAACAAGAATAGGACACATGAACTGAGCACCACCATGTCTGTGGCAAATTATCTTTTCCCTTCTCAAAAGGGGTATAAGGAACAGATTAATATCAGATAAAGTAGTTCACAATCAGTTATCATTTGTCTGATTCTTTGGCCTGATCCCAAGTTTGTCTGTCCTGGAGAATTTTAAATTAATTTTTCTGACCATATGATGAACCAGTGGTTTAGGTATCCAGCTGCAGAGGCACAGGTTGGGAGTGTGATTCCCCACTGTTCCTCGACAGGGGCAGGTATTGATGATCCTTAGGGGACTCTTCCAGCCCTGCAGTTCTAAGATTATATCTACAGACCTATTAAGCCAGCATCTTTGGAACTTAACTCTAATATGTTTTGCTTAAGAATGGATATTATTAATTTTTGTGCTATATAAATTGTATTTTAGCCAGTGGCAATGAAAAAGCATATTAATTTTTGTATGATTATTATTAATATGAGGGATGGGAAGACAACCGAAAAACTGGCAAATTCAAGTATTAATTCTTGAAAGACTGCATCTCTCATTATGAGCTTGTTTGGATGTTGAGATCATCAGGAGAGGTCTTTCTCTTGGTTCCTCCACCCTCACATATGTATTTGGTGGGGACATGAGAAAAGACGTTCTCTGCTGCTCTGAAACTCTGGTTCTCCCTCCCATGGCAGGCAAGGCTGTCCCTTTCTTTGCTGTTCCCCAAGTAGACAAAGCCCTTTATCTACTTTCCCTTTATAAGGGAAATAAGGGGAAGACAGGGTTTCCCTTATAGATGCACTGTCTAAGAGGTTTTGTTTTAATGGGATTGTTTCTGCTTTTGTTGCTTTTCCTGTTCTACTGCGTTTTTATTCACTATTTTTAATATCTTTGTTTAATTCTTTTTAAATATTGTAATTGTTTGTTGTTTTTAGCTATAGGCCAACTTGGATCGTTTTAAGGAGAAAGGTGGGATATAAATATTTTAAATAAATAAATAATGATTCGTAGTTTACTATTCTTCAGGCACCTAATTCATTGAAGGATATTTCGACAGATTTCTGACCAGTGCCTTTTAGTATAGCTTGAACTGCATAGCCCAGGTGTCCAAATACATGTTGTTTTTATTCTACATGGCAATTATCTCCATGTAAGCAACATAAATAAAAGGAGAACTTTGATTACTAAAGCAGATCTCAATTACACAGTCCTGGTTACACAATTCACTTTGTTGCTTAGGTGATAATTATTTGTATTGAGGGAGTGCTTACCTCAAAGAGTGGATTTGGATCCTTTCAGTTTGTTTTCATTAGAAACAAAGTCTTTTGCTGCTCTGAAGCTGTCTGTTTTAAATCCAAAATTTGCAGGACATGGAAACTTGTATGGAGTGTGATACCTTGCCTCTCAGAAAGGATATACCATTACTATGCTAAATAATGCTTGGTTATAAAATATATGATTGGGGGAAAAAACTATCCAGAACTCTCCGTGAGCCAGGACAGAAATCAAGGAATATGCCATCCAGTCAGATGAGACCTCCTACATCAGAGGTGAGAAAAGTAAACTTAGAAAATATGTATAGTAGGTTTTAAAGTCAGTCTACACTATCTTGTGACATTTAGTGCTTTTTACAGATAGAGTAAAGAATAGCATATACTGTACTGTGAACAAAGAAACGCCATCTACATAATGGTTTGCAATTTTGCATTTGGTCTGATTTTAGACAACAGCCAAAGAATGCTTAGATATTTCACTAAAGTGAACACTGGTCCAGATTTTGCAAAAATTTTCCTTTGTCGCTAACAATAATTAATTTTCACTAACGCAATAAGAAATTAAGTCTCATTGGTGTTCATTTGTCTGTCTCCATTTGGAGTCCAGATTATAGCAGCACTGTAAAGCATTGCAGCTGATCAAACTGTAACGTTCCTTAGCTATCCTCTGGAGCATTCCAGGTCAAACAGAACTGAAATGTATTCTCGAAGGCTTTCACGGCCGGGATCCAATGGTTGTTGTAGGTTTTTTGGGCTGTTTTGCTGTGTTCTGGAGGTTTTTCTTCCTAACATTTTGCCAGTCTCTGTGGCTGGCATCTTCAGAGTTCTACCCCCTGTCCTCTGAAGATGCCAGCCACAGAGGCTGGTGAAACATTAAGAAGAAAAACTCCAGAACATGGCAAACAGCCTGAAAAACCTACAACAACCATCAAAACTGAAATGCTGTTAGAAACGGAATGTAACAGCCTACGTAGTGGGGCAGTGAGAGGTAGCTGCTTTCATGCTGCCATTACATTTAGAGCATAATAACTGTGCCAACATAATGGAAGGGGGAGCTTCTTGGTTAGGTTGACAAAGCCCTGTTTTCCTAATTATGGCCACCCCACTCTAATCCCATGAAACTTACCAAGAATCATGAAATTGCCATCCAGACAGACTGGATAGCAATCAAGTTCTGGTAAACTCAGTTGTAGCTTTAAGGAAAACATATTTTGAAAGGGTTGCATGAATAAGAGATTTTTACCTCCTGGAAAATCAAGTTTTATCAGGAATATTTTAGTGGTAACACAATGTTAAGCAATGATATATTCAACAAAGCCCCATCACAGAATGGGTCAAATTGGCCATCTCCAGTGAGAGGTGATTACAGCCTGGCAGTGGGCAAAGTGAATCTGGAGTTACCATTATGTCCTGTTGGGAGAGACCATCCAAACATTTTAATCTTCTCCAGTTTTTGAGTGTTATAATATATGACAAGCTCAGAAACTTCAGCTGAACCCTAATATAGTAGCCAGACTGTTAGCTTCCAGGTGAATGCAACACCAGTTACCAAAGCTGTTGGCTCCATGTCTGCTACAAGATACTTACCTGTGAAGAATTAGGGTAGCCTGAATCTGTATCCTAACTATTTACAGTCTCAGCATTGAAGTTCTATGTTCCACTCTTATTGGAAGGGAGAATCAGCTTGTTTCTGACGTCACTAAAACTATGTGGATGCGAAGCAGGAGTAAGATACGTACAAAGTGGGAACTGATGTTTAAACAGTGCAGCAACATTTTTATGATGATGGCTCTACAGGAGACCCCCATATGTATGGGGTTATATGATAGCTTGGACTTAAACCATATAAGGCTTTATAGGTAATCATAATCAATAATGGCTGTTGTGGGTTTTTTGGGCTCTTTGGCCATGTTCTGAAGGTTGTTCTTCCTAACGTTTCGCTGTCCTAACGTTCCTGCTGTCCTCTGAAGTGCTGTCCCCTGAAGATGCCGGCCACAGAGACTGGCGAAACGTTAGGAAGAACAACCTTCAGAACACGGCCAAAGAGCCTGAAAAACCCACAACAACCATTAGATCCTGGCCGTGAACGCCTTTGTGAATACATAATCAATAAGCTGAATTGAGCCCAGAAACAAACTGGCATCTATTAATATATCATTTTTGTGGAGCTTCCTAATGTCAGAGATATGCCAGGTTTAAGAAGTCGTTTTATTCATATTTAATTTCTGCTGCTGCCTTTGTAAGATTATTAGATAAATTGTGTTTTCCGTACATTGATTATACTTCTAGTGTTTTTTTATGATTAATCATCTTAATCAGATTTATCCTCTTCTTCAATTTGTGTTCTTCACTCCATTCTTCTTGCTTAATTTTTAGTCTCTCCCATGCCTTTTTCTTAAAGTGCAGCCTGCAACCCCATCAAGATGCTGTTTATGTTGTTGACATCAGTTGCCCTTTTGCTTTACTCAGACAGGAAGAAAGATGGCTGCACCATATTCAGGTCCCGGAGCCCAGTTCTGACATGTTAACTCTGTAGTACAAAATTGACTACCCATTTCCCCCATCCCCACTCCTTACAAGAATTCCATCTGGCATGTTTAACTCCTCTTTCTCATAGTTGGGACAAAGCAGTGGTGCGTATGTGCTTTGAAACTGCAGTTTAGCAATGCTCCATAGGAGGAAGACAGAGAAATCTGAGGTACACAGAAGTCGCACACATCTGTTATTTCCATTGCAGTGCTCTTCTTAGTTTTGCTGCTCTCCTATATGCATATACTATTACAACATAGTGGCTGAAATCATGTTGTGCTACTCTGCTGGGTATAAATTATGATGACATCATCACCCAGCGATGTTAATCTTTACTTTAAAGCTTTTCCTCCCATGTCAGGTTCAGGTTCTGAAGCCACCTATGGATCACTTGATTTGAGGGAGCCTTGGGATGGAGGGGGATGAGCCTTTAATATTGGAAAACTGCCAATAAAAAATCTAGACAGTAGTCCCAAGGCAGAGGAAGGGTGCCTGGCAGCAGCAAAAATAATTTTACAGTATTTTTTTTAATTAAGAAAAAAATCCAGAAAAAATCTAGACAGTAGTCCCAAGGCAGAGGAAGTGTGCCTGGCAGCAGCAAAAATAATTTTCCAGAAAAAAATGCCAAAAAAAAAAGGAAAGGAAAGGACTCCAAGATGGAAACATGGTAGGCAGACATCCAAGATGAGAACACCAGACATCAGCATACAGTAATACCACAAGGAACAGCTAGAGCACTCATCACTGTGTTCCTGGTCCTTGCACATATTCAAAATTCCCACTCCCCTTGGACCTTTTGGTCAGCTGTCAGCAGCCCTCATGTTATTGGATGAAAAAAATTCCCAAGTGATTTGACAGGCAAAATGTATCATGGCATTGGAGGGTTACATAAGGGGCGAAACATGAAAGAAACAGGAAACTTGGTGTATCTCTCTTTTGTGAACATTAATAATTTGTGTTTAGATGTTCTTTTTCAGCAGTCATCAAAAGAATACGGATTACATGTAAATAATCCCCTTTTGTGTGTGTGTGTGTGTGTGTATTTTCCATTTTTAATTTTCCTTATAAAGGTAGGGTAAGGTAAGGGGCAGCTGGGATAGGGTTAACCCTTGGAGGGTGTGTACTTGAACGGATACATTACAAATCAATATTTTTCATAGTAAGTCTATACATTCTCTTCTAGTAATTTCCACATATCAGAAAGAAATATAAACAGTGAGCGAGAGGAAAAAAAATCAAATTTAGACAAATATGTTTTATTCTAATTATTGATTATGTAGCTGATAGTCTTTATCCATCATTTATTCTGTCTCTTCTGCAGCCATACTATGTATCAGTCCATTATTCTATCTACCTTGTACCCTTGTGTGTTTTGAGCCTTTTGTTTAGATAGAAAAAGCCCATCCTTACCTATGTCTGTCATCTCAGAACAGAAAACACAGGATTTGTCAGTATCCCAGCACAATTGTTATTTCTTTAATTTATTTCTTTAATTTATGTCATATTATCTCCTATCTCATATTTTATCTCGTACTGTATTAAGATTGTAAGTGCTAACAGATGATAGGATTTTTAAACTATCTTTTAATGTATTTAGCTTTTAGAACTACATGTTTTTTATGTTCCGGAAGAAATATGGAATTTCAAATTGAATACAGTTCCTGTAGATGACATTAATAATTTCTTCTCAGCTGGCTTTATAAGGTAAGTAGAACTGAAAGAAGAAACAGCTAGCGTGACTTGGAATTTGGTACTTATAGTGACCGTTTAACAGTTAGCTTGAACACATGCTTTGGTTTATACGTTTTTCTAAGACCTGAATTGAACCATTTGTGACCCAATGTTTATATGATGATTCCAGCTTTTAAATAATCCAGAAAGCAGCCACAAGGCACCAAAAATAAGGAGCAGAATACTTTGTGACGAGCAGGAAATTCTCTGACTCTCTTGTTTTCTGCTGGTACTTTAGTCAAAATGAACTTCAGATGAAATCTCATAGAGATGAAATATACCTTTCCCCCTGCGGGATGGGAAACAGGTGTTTTGAGAAGGAAAGCAATCCTTTCCCATTCTGATTCTTTGTTGCTAATTTTGGCCTTTCATCCCTGCTTTCCATTAAAAAAAACCCACCACACCCTATTTGGAACTGTTTCCCAATTGCAGTTGCATTTTAAAAATTCAAAATTTGTTATGTGTGCAGCCATACCCTTGCGGAGAGATTAGCATATAGTAACAGTGCCATAATTTTTCCTTATTATGGAGATATATGGAGATAACCTGTCCAAACCTCTTTGGACAGGTTAGCAGCTTTAACAGAATTTTTTTGTGGGATGGAAATCATAGTGGGTTATTCTAGTGCTGGGAAAATACAGTAACTTATGACAATGGTCACTAGTAGGATGAAATAATAATGATTTTAATGAGAAATACAGGACAGCAGAATTTACTGGCAAAGCATAAGAGCTCAGACTGAAAGATGGTAAGTAAAATTACGTCAGATAAAAATGTTAAGCTGCTTACCAAAGGATTAGCAGATAATAAACCACTTTCCATCATCATCCCATTGTCATATGGGAGATTATGATTAAACATGCGTATACATTTGGCAAAAGAACTAATAAGCCGTGTGCTTTCAAAAACTAAAGATCAGGTTGAAAATGACAAAGAAATTACTTGCGCCATTTGTATCCCTCACCAGTCAATTTACTGAAAAGACTGTACTAAGAATAAACACACTTGTCTCATTGTATTTTTGGTACTCATTTGTTTCTGAAGTTATGACTAATTTACATCATTTTATGTTATTTGAACTATCTTGATGCCCCCTCCCAAGGCCAGAATCCTGTTGGGGAAAGTAGCAAGTGCAATCATGCGGGTGGTTTTATCTTTTTGCTCACCATTTGTAATTTATTTATTTATTTAATATATTTTCCCTGCCTTTGTCCTTAAAAAGGAGGTTGACATCGCTAAAAGACAATATTGAAAGCTAAAAACAGTAAATATACAAATACTAAAAAGGATCAAGCAAACATCACGCTAAAAACAATAAACAAAAGCAACACCAAAAAACACAATGAAGCAGTGAGGAACAACAATCCATTCAAAAATCCCACTCAGGCAACCAGTCACTGAGGAAAAGCTTGCCTGAAGAGAAACGTCTCTGCCTGCTTGCAGAAGGAAACCAAAGACGAGGCAGCAAAGAAGATGAGACAGCAAAGAAAGTCTGGCAGCAACAACAGAGAAGGCCCTCTCCTGTATCCCCCATGAATGCAAAGAAAGTCTGGCAGCAACAACAGAGATGGCCCTCTCCTGTATCCCCCATGAAATGCACCATGATGATCTTAACACCTGAGCAAGCTCATAAAGAGAGATGCAGTCTTTGAGATAGTTTAGACCCAAACAATTTATGGCTTTATAAGTTAGAACCAGCACTTTTAATTGTGCCTGGAGCTGGATTAGCTCTGTGACAGATGGCCTGCTAATCAGGTAGAATTGCTGGTCCCTTGATAAAACTACAGTTCCCATGTTTTGTTGGGAAGGAGGAGTGATAGTTAAACAAGTTCAGGTCTCTGATGCAGGTAGATGATGTATAGGATGCTATCCTCTGTGACATGATTTCTAGTCGTTTGATTTAGAGCTATAATTTAAGCAGTAGCCTGAACTTCAATTAGTTTAGTAGTCCTACTAAGTTCAGAGACTTTCACCCATGTCGTTACTGTTCCAACAGCATGAATAAGTTAATGTTATTTATTTGTATATCAAAGAAACTATTAGTAGTGTAATTCATTCATAGAATTATTTATTGCATAATACAATGCTAGGTTGTGAAGAAGAAAATTACTGTCTTAATAATCTCAGAAACTACAGAGAACACCAGTTTTGCTAGTAGAGATATCACCTAAATGTGGGTATACATGATACAGTATTAGGCATTTCTGCAGAAATAGGCTAAATAGGATTAGTCTCGTGAATAAATAAGTTTCTGGGACTATACATATTTCCAGGGATGTTGACAAGTCTTTGGTCAAAGTCCTGAGTCTGAGTCTCGATTTCCAGGGATGTTGACAAGTCTTTGGTCCAAGTCCTGAGTCTGAGTCTCAGTCATTAGTACCAAGTCCCAAGTCCCTATTAAAAACAAGCTTCTTCTTTGTGATCTCTTTGAATGCACACTAATAGGTTAATCTGCGCCTGTCAGAGATCTCCTGAATATTCTCAGCAGACGCACGAATGGTCTCTCGATGATTCCATATTCCTCTAGCTCTGCGAAAGATGGGGTCTTCCCTAAATAGATGTCTTCCCCATGGCACACAACACCAAATGTGCCCGATATTTCTCCAGGGCGGGCAGAGGACCGCAGTGCTCTCTTGGCAATGCTCTCATGGCAAGGTGGACCTCGCACCTCCTTTACCTTTCCCTCCAGTTCCTCTTCTCTTACGAACCATCGTCAAGCTGCAGCAGGATTGCGCTAATGCCATCCTCATAGCCCCGGGGTGGCCAAGACAGCCGTGGTTCACCATGCTTCAGTCGATGGTGTCCGACACTGTTAGTCTCCCACTCACACCCTGCCTTCTCACTCAACACCAGGGACAGTTAACATCCCGACCTCCAATCACTCCACCTTTCATCCTGGAGGACCCACCCTCCCTAAACACTATTCTGGCTCATGCGAGGAAACCTTCTACTCAACAGCTTTATGAGTATAAACGGTCTGTATTTGTTAAATTTGCACATCAGAAGAACCTTCCTACCAACCCGACTACTCTTCCTGAAGTAATGGCTTCCCTTTCTCATCTTTTTGAATGTCACCTTTCATTATCTGCACTTAAGGTTTACCTATCAGCAATTGTAGTACACCAACCCAGGGACTCTGATGCTGCCTCATTATTCAAACATCCAACCTTAAAACAATTTCTACGAGGTGTGGCTAACTTGTGACCGACCAGGCATGTTCCACTGCCACAATGGTCTTTGCATACCGTTCTCCAACGCCTTACATTACCACCCTTCGAACCTCTCACAACCTCATCTGAACGGCTTCTCTTGTTTAAAGTTTTATTCTTGGTAGCTATCACATCGGCACACAGAGCATCCGAACTTGCAGCTCTGCAAGTGGATCCCCCATTCTTTCAATTTTACCCAGACAAAGTCACACTCTACCCCGATATTTCCTTCCTGCCTAAAGTTGTTTCTGATTTCTATGTCCATCAGCCTATCGTCTTACCTACCTTCTTCCCGCAGCCATTGACATATCTTGAGCGATCCATCTTTTGGATGTCAGGAGAGCCCTAGCATTCTATATGAAAAGAACGGTGCCTTTCCACAAGACTAAGAGACTGTTTCCATGCATCCACCACATAGGGGAACTCAGATTTCCCTCCAAACTATCTCACGTTGGATTGTCCACACCATATTTCTTGCTTATGAACTTGGAAAGAAACCGCTACCTCCTGATATTAAGGCACACTCCACCAGAGCAGTGGCTACTTCTACTGCCTTTCCCAAAGGTGTACCTGTTCCTGACACATGCAAGGCTGTTACCTGGTCCACTCCGTCAACTTTTGCATCCCACTATCGATTCGATGTGCAGGCCAAGTCGGATGCTGCCTTCAGATGAGCGGCATTGGTTTCTGTTCTTCTGTGACGTCCCTCCTCCCGTCAGGTAAGCTTGCTAGTCACCCATTAGTGTGTGCATTCACAGAGACCACAAAGAAGAAAGAGAGGTTACTTACCTGTAACTCTGGTTCTTCGAGTGGTCATCTGTGAATTCACACTTCCTGCTCATCCTTCCCTCTGTCCGTCACGTCTGTTTATTTTATACAGCGGTGGGCTGACCACATGTGTTAGGGGGCGGTCCTGGTGAACACATGTTTGAGCTCTAGAATATTCCGGAGATCTCTGCGCAGGTGCAGATTAACCCATTAGTGTGAATTCACAGATGACCACTCGAAGAACCAGAGTTACAGGTAAGTAACCTCTCTTTTTTTGCCCCAGGAAAAAAGGAGGTGTGGGTGTGTTCCAAGCTGTAAGTCAAGTCCAAGTCATGGGGGGGGGGGAACCAAGTCAAGTTGCTGGTGCAACTTAAGTCCGACTTGATAGCGAATCCTGTGACTCAAGTCCCCATCCCTGCATTTTTCTATCCTTTGTCTCTTATCACACTTTACTGTAAATACTGGTAGTTTCTGCATTAGAAAATCTTCAGTGGTGCCCTTGGGCTCTGAACATTAATGTTCAAGAATAGAAACCACATGTAGACATTTCTAGTTTTTGAAGAAAAAAATAGTTACTACATGCAAGGATTTCAAGGTTACAGGCCTGTACCCACATACCTGGAATCAAGTTATACTGGAACTCATTGGGACTTAAATGATGAATAGATATGAGATTGTACTTTAAGTGTACAAATTTTCTTAACTTGCGTTATTTGGACATTTAATAAAGTTTATAAATATATTTGGAGGTAATCTGAAAAGAAAATGAAGTCAAGGCAAACAGCTACTTGATGTCATTCAGTCATCTCTCTCTCCACATTTTCTTTTTGTTCACTCACCTGCACAACAACAACAAAAAAATTATCCATCCTCATACAAATGCAACAATGTTGTCTGGTATTGTAGGGTGTCACCTCACATGACATTGAGAACACTGAGAGAGCAGCTTGGTGATTACCTGGGTGAAGACACAGTTGTGGATAAATATATCTTTTTAAAATGTATAGGAAAGAAACTTGTGGTGGTAAGTTATGCATGTCTTTTCTGCTTACTTCCATAAGAAGGTTACCAAACATAGTTCTATGCTTATCTCCAAATGTTCCCAGTTTAAATGGCATGTTTAGGTGTAGGTAGTCAGGAGGGTGACATTCATCTAGGATGTGCTTATTAATAATAATTTTGTGCCATCATGTCAATTCCAACCTGTGGTTACCTTTTTCAGGATTTTCTAGGTAGAGACTACAAAGAAGTGGTTTGCCATTCCCTTCCCTTCTTCTGAGGCTGCCCTGGGACTGTGCTGCTTGCCCAAGGCTACATAGGCTGGCTCTTCTCCTTGAATATAAGGTGCAGGATCAAACTTTCAACCTCTAGCTCCATAGCCAGATATCTAAAATAGTGAGGTATCTAACCATAGCCTTTGCTTTTATTAAAACCTGAATCATGTCACCATCTTCTCTGCTGAGCTGCAGGCCACTCTGTGACAAGGAAGCTTGGTGTTGTTCTGCTTTCAGTGTACTTACTGTTCCTGTTGTTTTCCTGGAACTGGAAAGAAAGTGGCAGAAAGGAAGGAGAAGTGCCTGCTTTGACACAGGCCCTTTGAAACTGATTCTAAAAGCTCTTGCCTTAGTTACATCCCATTTGAATCACTGTAATGTGTGCTACACGGGGCTTTGAAAAGTTTTTGCAAAAAAGGGTATGAGGGACCATATCTCCCCATAGGAGTTTTCATGTGTTTTAATATTTTGAGAAGAGGCCTCTCTCTCAATCCCACCGCCTTCACAGGCGTACTTCATGTAGGCATGAGAGAGGGACTTTTCAGTGGCTGCTCCTAGGCTGTGAAACTCCCATCCACACTAGATTAGGTTGATCCTGTCCCTGCTATCTATCCATCAACAGATAAAGACCTTCTTTTTAGGAAGCTGTTCAACTGCTGCTAGGAACAGATTTTAATGGGGATGTTTTTTAAAATCAATATTTTAAAATGTTTTTCTAAAACGTATAAATGAATTTTATTTAGCACTTCTAATGAGGAATATGTTTATATATATACAGTGGTGCCTCGCTTAGCGATCGCTCCATTTAGCGATGAAATCACTTAGCGACGCTGTTTTTGCAATCGCAAAAGCGATCACTTTGTGATGTTCCCTATGGGGTATTTTCGCTTTGCGATGATCGGTTCCCTGCGATCATCGCAAAGCAACCCTTTTCGCACAGCTGATTGGCGGTTTCAAAATGGCCGGAAAAAATATGGCCGCCCACTGTTTTCTGGGATGGATTCCTCGCTTTAGAGGCAGCGAAAATGGTGGTGCTATGGAGGATCTTCGCTGAACGGTGAGTTTTAAGCCCATAGGAATGCATTAATCGCGTTTTAATACATTTCGATGGGCTTTTTATTTTCGCATTGCAACGTTTTCGTTCAGCAGCCATTTCGCTGGAACGAATTAATGTTGCAATGCGAGGCACCACTGTATAAGTTTATTTTTAATTGTTCTCTTATTCATACTGGCTGGATAGCTCAGTACAATATGTTAGGAATCTGACTGTGGAGCCAGAGGTTGAGAATTCAGTTCCCCACTGTGCATTCCAGAAGAGCCAGCCTGTGCAGCCTTTGGCAATCTTTTTTTGTCTCTATCCTATATTAAAACCTCCTAATTAAGACCCACAGAAGGCAGTTTGTGGAGGAAACCTATTTTAATTATTCACAAGGTATTTTAGACAGTTCCTCAACCAAAAAGACAGAAAATTAAGGTGATATATAAGAGTTCAATTAAGAGGGGTTTAAAATATATTAAAATTAATTAAAATTAATTAGAATTACCAAAAAATTAGAGCCAGTAAAATAATGCAAATAACAAAAGCCATACTAGAATTTGAAAAAGTAAAAAAGAAATTTAAAAACATGTGCATATAAAAAGGTCATGACCATCTGGTAGAATTTTCTGTGCATTATTTGTTCTCCAGAAGAGATTGAATAATATTTTCTAAAAACATAATGGGCATGATTTGCTTTATACAGGTATTAAGAAATTGTAATACAGTATTATAAAAATTGAAAGATGTTTTAATAATGTTGCCGTTGTTGTTATTTTCCAAGGTAAAAGCAAAACAAGAGACAGAACTGAAGCTTAAATCATTTGCTCCTCCATATGTATGTATATTGTTGCATTAATTTTAAAAGCAAATTCAGACTGAATAAGTTTAAGGGTCCACTCATGCCACTTAAAATTAACATGTTTTATGTTTCAGGCATTTAACCCAGAACTGTATTTGTTACCAGGAGTAGAAAGCATTTATTCATCATCAACAACAACTCCAGAAAGATATCACAATAATACAGAATACTTGTTGGGCTATACACCAAACAGTTTAGTTGTTCCAAATCCTGAAGTTGCTGGGAATCCAAAACGTTTGGGAAGTTCTTTGAAAAGTCATCTCAAGCAGGAAAAGGGGGATTTGTTTGGATTGAATGCAACTGAACAGGAAAGTTTAACAGGTCAACACATTCAGCTGGGCTCCGACCAAAAAGAGAATGAAAAGATTCAAGAAAAATATAGTTCAGAAACAAAAGGTGAGATATTTAACAAGGAAAAGTTACCAAAGCTGTTTCTAATGATCAAATTCAGATCAAATCATAATGAAAGCGGAGTCATTTAATTCACTCTTTCTTGTTTTCATTTGCAATTACTTCCATTCTAGTAAGAATTCTACTAAATTTAAGATGGTCAGACTGAAGATGATAGCCTAACTTATTTTTCCATAATCAAGGCTTGGAGCCTGTTGTGTCAAGATTCAGGAATGAGCCACTTGTTTCCTACCACTACTACACCTTAGCTGGAAGGGAAGCAAATAGTCCATCACACAATTTCTGAACCTAGCCACTATTTCCCTGCTCATACACATGATGCAGGTTTCCTTGCCTTAGGGCATGGTTACATATTAAAAAAACCTTTTCTTTCGAATCTGGTTTAGCTTATTTGAAATCAATTTCAAAATTTCTGACTACACAACACACATGGAAGCATGGACACTTGGCAGTGAGAGGGTCATTTTAAATCATTGGTGGAATTGATTTAATTTGAATCATTCTGGCATAGGCAAATGCCTTTGTTGGTGTAAATTGAGATTGTGGGATTTGTAAAGGAAGGGATGCCAAGATCACAGTTTTGGGCTGCAGGGAAACCTTGCAGTCCAGTCAGAGAGAGAAAGGTTGGGTGAGGGAAAGCACTCCCTGCTTCACAAACCCAGAAGCTGCCAATCTTGTTAATTTTTCTGTTCAATTTCTCTTTGCTACTCACTGGTGTGTCTTCCCTCTCACCAGTCCCAGCTGTTGGTTCTGTCACTCCCCTCTCCTTCTCACTCTCTCTCTCTCTCTCTCTCTCTGTGTGTGTGTGTGTGTGTGTGTGTGTGTGTGTGTGTGCGCTTTCCTGTTTGTGTGTTGGGCTGCAGGGAAACCTTCCAGCTTGATCTTTTAATTTCTTTTTTATCTGTCATACTGAACTAGTGCTATGCCAGATGGCAAGAAATAAAAATAAATAAATATCACCATGGCAGAAAGCAGTGGATAGTGACTATGATAGGCTGCTAGTACAAGAGCAGAAGAGCACAGGACAAAGCCTCAAATACAACAATTTTAAAAGCCCAATTAGCCCCCTCAAACAATATAGAACACTATTTAAACATGGATTAAATTTTTCCCAAGAGGATGCATACACATGACTACCACATGAGTTTAAAATTTCAAAAACCTCTTTTCATCTCCCAATTCATTTTTATAGTGAAACCATGACCTTTGATTAGATGTAGTTCACGGTTGAAAATCTGTATGTTTATTTATACTGAATTCGTATTTATAAAATAAAACTTAGCAGCTTATAAAGTTCATATAATGCGCAAAACACAATTTAAAAGTTCAGATTAATTTCATACATTAAAACCAAAATTATATGGTTATATATGATGATTCATAATAAGCTGTCATCTTCTAAATCTGTGATCCCCAACCTTTTACGAACTGCAGACAGTTTGGGGGGCAGAGTCCATGCGTGGGGGGCCCATGCACCTCCTGCTTGTGGGTGGGCATGGCATGCATGCGCGGGGGCGCTCGCAGGTGAGTGGGGCATGCTTGTGGATTGGCATGGCATGCTCACGGGTGAGTGGGGCGTGCTCGTGCAGGTCGGTGGGGCACCTGTACCTGCAGGTGGGCGGGCCGTGCGTACATATAGGTGTGTGTGTGGGGAGTGCATGCGGGGAGGCAAGAGATCTGTCTCCTCGGCCTGGTCCTGCGAAGGCCACAGACTGGCAGCGGACCGGGGGTTGGGAACCCCTGCTCTAAATTACTCAATATATGTAGCTATACTGTATGTATCTAAATATGTGCTTGTGTACATTGTCCACTAGGCGAAAACACCTGTAACACAGGCCAAGGAGAGTCTATTACATCTCTATCTGTACCACATGGTTTAACTGTTGCAAGCCACAACTCTGACAGAAAACCAAGATCAGAGAAAATACATCTGAGAATGCCTCTCAGCCAAACTCAAGAAAGATCTTATACTTCCAGGAAAGAAGAGAAGTACAGTAAACCTGCTACAACTCTCGACATAAATCTGAACCACGAGCAAGAGGAAAATAATCTGATTCATGTACATCACCTTCCACAGAAAACAAAAGGTATCAGTTACTAAGAATTTTGTTCATGTTTATTAAATAATAAAAGTCTCTTGTGACCCGTGACACTGGGCCCAGAAGCCCAGTGAGATCAGCTTTATTGACAGTAAACATAGCTACTGAAACCTCAAAAGGAGACCTCATTAGAAGCCAAGAGTGACCAATTTGACTTTGATGACACCACACAAAATGTTAAAAGATGTGATCCATGCAGCAGTAGATTGGAAGCTTATGTCCTGCCTGCATCCAGTGTCTGGCTCTTTACAAATCACTTGTGTTGTAGGGCTGGACAAACCTTTTTTTCCAGCAGTTTGTACAACATTTTTCAAATCTTAGGGTCTTCGTACTTTTTAGTCACTCCATTCTGGCTGTGAGCCAACTGACAACTGTCAGTAACTAGCTTTTCTCCACTTTGATAGCTTACATTTTTACTTCAAGTAAAATGCAGAATTTGTACTGTCTCCTTGCCTTACATTTAAACCAGACCTAATATGAAGAATTGCCATATTTTTGTATAGCGAAGGGTTTACTCAGCACTTGTTGTTTGGACAAATACAGGATGTGTCGTTTCATTTAAAACACAGAGAGGCTTATAAGTTTGCGTGAGTTTCAGAACTTTTAAAAAGCCAGTTCATTTTCCCATTTCTGAATTGCACTGATTGTAGCTTACAATGACACTCAAATCAGACAAACCAGCTACTTCTAGTGCTACTAATAATGATTATGTGCTGTCAAGTCAGTTCTGACTTACAGTATCCCTTCCAAAGGTTTCTAGGTATAAAATGCTCAGAATTGGTTTATCAATCCTTTCTGGTGGTGCTTTGGATTGTGCAATTGCCCAGAGCCACACAGATGGCAGGGCGAATAATCCCATCAGCCACACACACTCTGTGTGATCTCAGCTGGCTGCTCTTCTAGGAGGCATAGTCGGGATTCGGACTGTTGATTCCTGACTCCACAGCCTACCAAATGAGCTATAACAGCTCTTTAGGGGGAAAGAATATACCACAATTTGAAACTTTGTTTTGAAGCAGATTTTCAAACCATGGTTTAGAGTTCTATAGCAACCATAGCAACCTGATTAATAATCACAGCAAACTATGGTTAAAGCAAGCTGGCAATGGGTTATGGGATTGCACATATGAGGGCAAAAGGACTGTGGATCCCTACAGAAAATTCATAAACATCAATACTTGGTTTTGAACAGTTATTTGAATGGAGTCAGACAATAGCTCTATTCAGTTTTTAGGAAACTGTGTATACTTAGTACAGTATCAGGAAAGAGGAGTGTTCTAATGCCACCTGCTGTCTTTCCAGTTGCTTTCCTAAACGATAACTGATGAGTCGGATGAAAAGAGAATGTCTGTGTGAGCTCTTCACATTAGGCAGGACTCAGAAAAATTAGATTCTTGGCTGACTTACAGAGCCCCCCCCCACCATGTCAGAGTCTCTCATCTTCAAGTTCATTGCTATCCCCATACTGAAATAGGGCAGAGCCAGACTACCCTTCTCTGTATGTAAACATAGTTTTGAATAAAGTGCCTAAACTTCAGTTCATGGAAGTTTGCAGATTTAGGTGTAAGGTATTTTTGAGATTTCTTAGTTCTCCCATTTTGTTTGTACTTCCTTTAGTGATTCTATAGGAAAGCAGATATTTTCCACCAAACCATTATTTTTATCCGGCAGTTGTAAAAGTAAAAAGGTGTGTATATGAACCAAAAGACAATATTTTGAATTTTTCATTAATATAGGAGAAATTTCTATGTTGGATGCCAATACAGAAAATGGTGGCAACCTAACAGTAATGGGAAGACATACTACAGGAGATTCTGGAATCCCAGAATCCTTGGGAGAGAGAGACTTGGAATATTTACACAGTCAGAGGAGGTAAGGAAATATAGACATTGTTATGTAACGTTATTATTTGTTATTCATTAAAATTGTATTAAGGACTGCTAACACGTAAAGAAATGGAAAAGCACAACACTTTAGTTACTTCTCAGATTAATATAATTAAGGATGGGAATTTGTTCTCCTTATCTCATTTCTTGCATTGAGGTTTTTCCTTGAAGCCTTGTGTGGCGTCTACTCTCGTCCCGCTTTGCTTGACCTTCAAGCCTCAGAACACACGGAGGCAAACACTCTCTTCTTTTACACTTGCTGCCACCAGGTGATTTCTAAATCACCATTACTTCCGAAAGATTCAGGTCCACACTTCAAGTTCTTTTAAATAAAACTTTGGTTTATTGATTACAGAGATTCATACAGTAAATATCTTCAGTAGCTAATCCTTAAATTTCCCAAACTACACACTCTATTACTCTGTCTTTCTCTCCTGAAATATAGACATTGTTATGTAACGTTATTATTTGTTATTCATTAAAATTGTATTAAGGACTGCTAACACGTAAAGAAATGGAAAAGCACAACACTTTAGTTACTTCTCAGATTAATATAATTAAGGATGGGAATTTGTTCTCCTTATCTCATTTCTTGCATTGAGGTTTTTCCTTGAAGCCTTGTTCTTTGCCCAGTTTGTCACCATCAAGTTGCCCTGACATAGTGTTCATACAAGAACCATAGATCTAATAAAAGGAGAATGCTACACCTTGCTCTTTGCCCATCAAGCTGCCCTGACATAGTGTTCCTGTGCTCAGCTTCCCATTTTTCAGGTTGATAATGAAGACAAAGTAACTTGCCACCCAAGCCCAACGTTTGCTACACCCACCAGCCCTTTGAATAAAATCAAGACTGTCTATTCATATTGAAGCTGTAACACATAGATCTAATAAAAGGAGAATGCTACACCTTGCTCTTTGCCCATCAAGCTGCCCTGACATAGTGTTCCTGTGCTCAGCTTCCCATTTTTCAGGTTGATAATGAAGACAAAGTAACTTGCCACCCAAGCCCAACGTTTGCTACACCCACCAGCCCTTTGAATAAAATCAAGACTGTCTATTCATATTGAAGCTGTAACATTTTACTTTGGTTTCATCTGTAGCCAACGGCATGCTGGAATTACCAAGACTGCTGCTGATGTTGGTAACATTCAAGATGGACAGGTATATTTCCAAAAACCTGGCAAGAAAATGGAGTTATTCTCGCAGGGCTCTTCCAGATGGTGCCAACGTGTGGTACCTCTTAGAGCTGCTTTTTGCCCCCCCCCTTCATGGGGAGAAAAGAAAAAGGGGGAAGGAAGGGGAGAGAGACATAAACAAAAAAACTGAAAGCTCCTGACCAAGCTTTGACCTTAGAAATGGATTGAAAAGTGCCATATTTAAACTCCATCCTCCTGAGATGATCCTAAAAAATAAACAAATTTGCCTTACAGGAGGAACATTTTGCCACTGTTGCTGTCACTGATTATATCTGGCAATGAGCCTTGTAGCACAGTGTTTAAACTGCAGTACTGCAGCCAACACTCTGATCATGACCCAGGTTTGATCCCAGGTAGTGAGCTTGAGGTTGATTCAGCCTTCCATCCTTTTGAGATTGGTAAATTGAGAACCCAGCTCACAACGGTGGGCAATGTGTAGCCTGCATAATTAAATTATAAACCACCCAGAGTGCTTTAAGCACTATGTGGTGGTATATAAGCAACACACTTTGCTTTGTCTGCTTAGTGGGAGCTAAAAAAACCCCACAGAACATCAGAAACCAGTTAGGTACATTTTGCAGAACAACTGACTCATCTGGGAGAGCCCTTTTTTCTTTATTACCAAAATAAAGGTTCGCATACTTTTGCAGTATATGCAAGAATTGTTGTTCTCTAATTCTGTACTTTGTCTTAGATAAAACTTTTTATATTGTAGAGTTCTCAGCTTAAAGTAAGTACATTCTTTCCTTAAAATGCATTTCACATATTCTGAAAGAGAAAACTATTTATTGCAGCCTTTAAACACATTTGTTAACGTTTCCAGTTTTTTTGGCACACTGAAGATTTGTCCCAATTTTTCCATCTCCCAGTTTTTCCTCTTGTAGTGCAGTGGTTAAACTGCAGTACTGCAGTCAAAACTCTGCTCACAACCTGGGTTCACTCAGGTTCACTCAGCATTCCAACCTTCCAAGGTTGGTAAATTGAGTACCCAGCTTGCTGGCCGGGTGGAGGCAATCTGTAGGGTTGGTAAATTGAGTACCCAGCTTGCTGGCCAGGCGGAGGCAATCTGTAGGCTGCATAATTAAAACGTAAATCACCCAGAGAATGCTTTAAGTGTTACGGGGTGATATATAAGCAGCACACCTTTTCATACTTCTGTCCCTTACCTTTAACTCTGCTGGCTAGGGCTGATTACAGTAGCAGTTCCACAGCATTTGGAAGGGTTTACATTCCATTTCTACCTTACAGATATATGTAATAATAATAATTGTAGAGTTGCACTACCCCTGTTTCTGAATTTTGAACCTTCTTCATCTTTTCTTGAGTCCTCATTCTCATGTGGATGTAAACCATATATAAAGAAGAGCAGTCCAGCAAATTGTGGGAGGGCTACATGATCTACAGACACCCCCCACGCAACAATTTCGTTTTTAGGGGGCACCTTTGGACCAGCAATGCTAATAATAATTGTAGAGTTGCACTACCCCTGTTTCTGAATTTTGAACCTTCTTCATCTTTTCTTGAGTCCTCATTCTCATGTGGATGTAAACCATATATAAAGAAGAGCAGTCCAGCAAATTGTGGGAGGGCTACATGATCTACAGACACCCCCCACGCAACAATTTCGTTTTTAGGGGGCACCTTTGGACCAGCAATGCCCATGGACCAAATGTGGACCTTAGAATATACTCCCAAGTACTCTGCAGGGTGCACAGCAGGTACTTGGCTGTGGAAATGGTTCTTTGTAGGTAGAAAAATTGAACGCTGGTACTGCAGGGAAGGAGGATGACTATGTTTAGGACTAGTTCAATTAGCTTCTCCCATTACATGAATTTGGTGACTAACACTGACATACTTTTTAATCTGTCTTAGATGGATGAGAATAACCTAAAGACCTTTATGCATCCAAGTCGTTATTTCCCCCCTCCTAGTCCACCTCATTTGGCTCTGTCTATAAACAGAGCTCAAGTTCCCAACACAGTATTTCCAACAGAGGGTAAGTGAATCCTTCCAAGATATTTAGCAATTTATTTATTTTTATTCAGAGTTGAAATATGCAGCGTGTATGTTTCTCGTGTTACTACAAACGGTTGACTTGTAATTAAGAATTATATATGCTTACAGAAACAGGCTTTACTGCCTGGCCTATAAAAGAGGGAGCAGGATTTACTCAAGTGACTGGTGAATAAATTGCTTGAGCACGAGTAAAGAGTAGTCCCCAGCCTCTAAAATGCTAGTTATAACTAATCATTATAATTAGTGGCAGCTGCCTATTTGCTACCAGATTTAACATTTTGTTATTAGTTTATAAAGTTGTATATTGGGACCTGGTAGCCTGAGAGGCTGATTTCTCATTTATACTTACATAAACCTATCTGGATAGACTTGTTTGTGGTGCCACATAGTCCGGTACGGCTGTTTGGAGCAGAACACTTAGCTCTCATTAAGCCCCTCATTATAACCACCTTTCCCTTAGCAATTTGGCATTTTTCAATCAATAGCTTCTACATTCATGTTGAAAATATATCTATTTATGCATGAATTCCCTTCATCGTTCAAGCTAACTCATACCTCATAGACCTCAAAAATATTTTAGGTAAATGTATGCATTTTTTTCTATGAGGTATTTAATTTAGTTGCCCCTGCTTTGAAATTTCTGAATCGGGAGAGTTAGTTATCATTGTATGTTCTCAAGTTGCTTTTGACTTGTGGTGACTATGAATTAATGGCCTTCAAAAAGTCCTGTCATTAACAAGGAGTTCATATGTATTTTAAATACATACGCAAATGTTCTTAGAAGATCTTAATTCCAACAACAGCAATACATGCCTTTCCTTCGTCTGAATGCAAGGAGGAATCTTTGGTGGAGGATTGTTTAATAAAATTACAGGAACTAATATTAATGGACAAACTACCAGACTCATTGAAAGGAAAGAATAGAACAGAACATGAATCTCAATGGGGGAAAGTAAAGAATTACCTTAAAGAAAAATAGAAGAAAGATTCCAAACCTGTATCAAATGATTTAGCCTTAAATTAGAAGCAGAACTGCTCTCAACAGAAGTAAAAACAAAGTAAAGCTGATTGTTAATATAGATATAAAATAAGAATTAAGAAAGGTATTATTAAGATTGTGAAGAAAATAAATATTTGGTGGAAATTGAGGAAGTAAAAATGTTAAAGACTTACTGTTTTGCAAAAGAAATAATAGAAAGTTATTTTGGTTATGTGCTAATATTGTGATAATTATTTAGTTATTTTTATAATTTCTTTTTAAAATGCAATAAAGATTAAAAGTTAAAAAACAAACAAACAAAAAAGGCACTGAGCACTTAAGAGTCATCTGTATTAGACTCTTCCCATTCTTGACCATCATGAAATGTTCTAAATGTGAATTTCCCCCACCCTCCAGGAAGTGATTTGAGTACACAGCTGCACCATATCAAGATGGAAAGAAAGGACCTGGAAAAGACTAGGATGGAACTGATGAAAAAAGTGAAAGGCTTGCTTGAGCAAAGCAAACTTCGGCGATGCCAAGGTATATTTCAGAATGATCTATCTAATACTGCCCAGCGAACAACCAAGTGGAAAGTGCCAGTTTGGGGAAAGAATCCAAGCCATATTCCCCAGATATTGCTGCAGTTAGATTTTGGAATCAGTTGCAGAATATTATGGAACAGGTATATTGTTTCATGTAACTCCTCTGGGAACTTCCACAAGTGTAAATTTATGTTACAGAAATAGCAATAGGATTTTGCCCAACATGTAGAACATTCCTCACATAATGTTAACATACAGAAGTAAGCTCAGTAACAGTTAATGGGATATGTTCATCCTTTCTACTAAGTTGAATATCAGTACAGAAAGATATAGGTTGTTGATGCTTAGCTGCAATTCTGTGTGTACAGTGGTGCCTCGCTAGATGATGATAATCCGTTCCACTGAAATCGCTGTTTAGCAAAATCATCATCTAGCAAAGAGCATTTCCCCATTGGAATGCATTGAAACCTGTTTAATGCGTTCCAATGGGGAAGAATCGTCATTGTATAGCAAAGATCGGCTATGGGAAAGCCGCTTTGCGAACCGCCGATCAGCTGTTCTTAATCATCGTGTTGTGAGAAAACAGTCCACGAAGCACGGTCCAAATCGTCATCCACCGAAATTCCCCCATAGGAATCACTGTTTTGCAAAGCAAAATGGCTGCTGCAAAACGTTGTCATCATGTGGATTCGTCGTTTTTAGGGGTAACCGTCTTGCGAGTTACCACTGTACTTACTGGGGAATAAGGCCTGCTGAAGCTAATGGAACTACTTTTGAGTACATGCATGGACGGGCACATAGGATTGCTCTGCAAGTACAGTACAGTATTTTGAAATGTTATAGCCCGTGATTCCTGGAAGAAGAAGTATTTTGAAGTGAAAAAAGCCACTGTTTCCATGGAGGGGGTTTTGAATAAGCTGCGAGAAGATTTAGAGCTTCACTACCAGAAATTACTGATACAGCTCGAAGCTAGGGATATCAAGAAAAAACGAAATAATTTACAACACACCACTAATTCAAAGGTAATGTTCTTTGTATGATTTTAGCTGCTTGCTTTAAAATCTAAGCGTCTCTAAGCACTGCACTGCATTCAACCTGAAGTTGTGGGAAGGCTCCAAAATTAGCAGCTTCACACGTCTCTAAGCACTGCACTGCATTCAACCTAGAGCAGTTATGTTGAAGTTATGGGAAGGCTCCAAAATTAGCAGCTTCACGAAATCCAGCCTGGTAATCTCACTGAACTGTTTCTACTGCTTAGACATCTGCTTCACAGAGGAACCCAATGTGTAATGGCATAGGGAATGCATTCACTCTCACTTTAGCTTCTGAAAGCATACCATCCCCCCCCAAAAAAAAATCAGTTCCAAGTGATGTGAAACACTCCAGTGCTTGTTTTTGGGGTGTGGCTCCCCAGGGCTGTAGGTGGGGCCAGGAGAAGCAGGAAATTTCTTGATATCTGAAGCTAATGAAAGGGTGTTAACAGAATAGAATTGAAATGAAAATAAGAATAAGTGATGCCCAAAGGAAGATTTTTATAGCATGTCCTATGTTTATATTCTAATTATGATTTAACGTTCAAAGAGTGGAGAATAAGCATCATGGTTATGTCCTTTAAAAACTAACTGCCACTTGGACACAAAAATAGAAAATGAGAAAAGTATAGAAACAAGCATGGAAGCAGTTCTTCAGGCACTTGGCCCTCATTTTGAATTAACATTAGGTGTTATTAGCTTGAGTAAACTTTGATTCATATTTATATTGCTTTGTCTACCTGATATCTTTTCCCCCACGGGCTCAACAATTAAACCCATGAGAATAAAGTTTTAAATTTATTAAATCCTTCCCATATGACTCTTGCCCTCTAGATACTGAGCGGGTTCTGCTAATTAGTCTGGGAATCCCAGTTTTGTGTCTCACGTAGCAGAGTTTCTTGTGTTCACAGTTTTCAAGTTGTCTTTCTATTAGGCCACAGTTTCATATGCACTAGGTATAAAACATTAATAATATCTATGTTTTCTGATGATTGACTATTTATGGTATGTATTCAACATATCTGTGAAGATTCTCAGTCATCCAGGTGAGATTATCCAGAAGTTGAGTTATGGCAACTGGACTTCTTTCGTATTAGGTTGAAATGTTTTGCTACTCAAAATATGTATTCAACAATTTCTTTAGGGCCTCAGTTCAGTCTCACAACTGAACTTTGCATCTGTACCAAGCAACTTCAGAATTTTTGGAGCAATGGTCAATTAACAGTTCCTTTTCCTTTCTCTTGGAAAATAAGAGAGGACATTCTGAGGCCAGTCCTAGAAGTGAATTAAATTATTCCCCCTCATTTCTGTCCTGGCCTCCATGGGAATAGCATCACTGAGTACCCTTGTATGGAATTTAACATTTGTATTCGGGGGTGGTGGTGGTGGTTTCCTTCTTGCTAGTTGGTTTTTGGTAAGTTTTTCTTCCACCATTGGCTACCTGTGATGCGTTGTGTTTGTTCAAAAAGTGCAGTAGCCTGACTCTACTGGACGAAAGCCACCAGGGAGACAGCTCCAAATCATTGTCTGAAATCTAGCAAGCAGCCAAAGGTGGCAGGTCCAAAATGGCAAAGGCAGGTCGGGTTTATCAGCACAGTGAGGTGCCTAAGGAACTAAAACACTTCAGAAAGGCAGTTTGTGGGACAGCTTGCTCACACACTTGTGCAGGATGTTACTGCATAATTACAGTACTTTGTAAATTTTAGTGAACTCAATCTCTTTTGTTATAGAATAATACAATAATCCAGATCACAACTCTGCAGCATGAAATTGACCAGCTAAGAAGAAGGCTAGATAATATGAAAATGAAGCTTGTCATAGAAATCAAGGTACCATATGAATTTATCTGGTTTGCTCTCTCTGCAAATTAGGTCTATGAGGATTTCTACATAGGTTTGTCACCAGGATACCATTTAGCAATCCAGATAAAAGAATACAAGAGGCCAAAGGGAAAGTGTGCTCTTGCCTCTATACCTTGTTTTCCCGGAAAATAAGACCTAACCTGAAAATAAGCCCTAGTATGATTTTTCAGGATGCTCGTAATATAAGCCCTAGCCCCCAAATAAGCTGGAGTTAAGTGAAACCCTACCCTCCACCATTGTGCAGCAACCAGATGACATGACTGTAAAATAAAACATCCCCTGAAAATAAGCCCTAATGTGTTTTTTGGAACACAAATTAATATAAGACCCTGTCTTATTTTTGGGGAAACATGGTAGGTATATTCAAAGTCCAGTGTGCTGGGGAACAGAAGATGAAAGCATGTCCATTTTCCTCCTCCATCAGCAGTTGTCCAGTGCTTTTGTTTTCTTAATCACATGGAATCTCATTAGGCAGTCAGAGCACTGGATTCTGAATACATATCCTAGGTTTCCATCATAACCTGGAGACGTGGTTCTCTATTTCAGGAGGAAAAGAAGATTATTGCTTTTCAGCAAATCTACATACTGCATGCTTTAGATGGGGATCAGAATGAGAGCAGTGAGCACACAGCATATATTGCAGCAGTTCATCTTTTCACTACCATAGTCCAATGATAGGCCCGTATGTACGTTTGAAGTATAAATTATTCTGTATTTTAAAGCACACACAGAATGTGACTTACACATTTGTGTCGAATCCTAAACTGTTATATTCCTCTGGATGTCGAGCTGGATAAACGCATTGGCAAAGCAGCTACCATGTTCTCTAGACTCACAAAGAGAGTATGGCTCAATAAGAAGCTGACGATACATACCAAGATCCAGGTCTATAGAGCCTGTGTCCTGAGCACACTCCTGTGCTGCAGTGAGTCCTGGACCCTTTGTGCACGGCAGGAGAGGAAGCTGAACACCTTCCATATGCGTTGTCTCCGGCGCATTTTTTATATCACCTGGCAAAACAAATTTCCAAACAGAGTGGTCCGAGAAAGAGCTGGAATTTTTAGCATGTATACATTACTGAAACAGCGACATCTACGTTGGGTTGGGCATGTCGTGAGAATGGCTGATGGTCGGATTCCAAAGGATCTCCTGTATGGAGAATTAGTGCAGGGAAATTGCCCCAGAGGGAGACCACGGCTGCGATACAAGGACATCGGCAAGCAGGATCTGAAGGCCTTAGGAATAGACCTCAACAGATGGGAAACCCTGACATCTGAGTGTGCAGCCTGGAAGCAGACGTTGCATCACAGCCTCTCCCAATTTGAAGAGACCCTTGATCTACATACTGCATGCTTTAGATGGGGATCAGAATGAGAGCAGTGAGCACACAGCATATATTGCAGCAGTTCATCTTTTCACTACCATAGTCCAATGATAGGCCCGTATGTACGTTTGAAGTATAAATTATTCTGATATATATTGCAGCAGTTCATCTTTTCACTACATAGTCCAATGATAGGCCCATATGTACGTTTGAAGTATAAATTATTCTGTATTTTAAAGCACACACAGAATGTGACTTACACATTTGTGTCGAATCCTAAACTGTTATATTCCCCAATCCTGTAGATACATACCTAGGATTAAATCCTGATTAACTGAATGAGACTTAATTTTGCTTAGATTATTTTAGGGTTGTAGTTTCACTTTAAAAAGGGCTCAGGGAAAAACTGAAACAAAAACAAAAATTAGAGCATGAAAAGTGGAATATGAATTGTGATATGGAATTTTAAGAGAGATGCTAGAAATAATTTCCTCCTAATTATTGTCAATGTCCTTTATCAGGCTAATTAAAACTCTGTCAGTGGACAAGACTGCAAAATTAGCATCTCCTCTACGACATGTTTACTTGCAACTCTTCAGCAATGAATCTAAAAGCCACCTAGGGCATTTCTGCCATTACTGCCCTCCACGTATTTGGCATCTCTGGTGGGTCATGGCAATAACATACGGCTGCATCTAAGGATCCGTGTAGATTTCCAAACTACTTAGCACAGCAGGTCTACGTTGAAAACAGAGAAAGTACACAGGAAGAGTTACTCTGTAGATGAAATGCTTTTACTTAGTATAGTAAGTTGCAACTAGAGTGGGCCCATTAAATCATTAGAGATTTGGTGAATAAACTCCATAAGTTCCATTGATTTAATGACTGAAACTTTCTACACTAAGCTATAGGTTTTCAGCCTATAACTAAAGCCTTTTACTGTGTTTCAAACTAAAAAGCTGGACTTGCCATCTGCACATCGTGTGCTGAAACCTAACTTCTTCTGCCTTTCTGGTGCAAGGTGTTTGATACAGACTCAACAACAAAACCTGCCTGTTGCATATCATGTAGCTTCAGACAGAACAAATCACATCTCTTTCTACACCCAGTTTCTTGTAGCCAATGGTGAGTGCAAAGAAACTAAGAGTACTTTGTAGCTCCTTACAGTTCTTCAGTAGGAAAGTGAGTGCTGGCGAATAAGGCAACTTGATGACTGTTACTTACCTTCCACGGTAAACCCAACCCTATAACCCAGCTGTGTATATGCCAACTCAAAACCCCTGGTAAATATAAAGTTAATTCCAGGTAAGTGTGCATAGTGAAAGTGGACTGTGCCATAGCTCAAATTAGAAACAAATTACATAGGTTCATCCTTTTTATTTCCCTTCATATTTCTCAGAGATAACTCCTTAAAGCATATTGTGCTTTGATTCTGATACTATATAAATAATAGATCATTCTAATACCACTGAATTGGATTTCTGTTTAGGCATGTGCAACTGGGTTAGGTGTTCCTTGCTCCATCATCCCTACAGAAGCTCCTCCAGACCCCAGAAAATGCCGCACCAAGGAGGTCAGGTGCCCCTACTGTATAGGGTAAACTATACCCTGAAAATCAGATAGGGCCACCTTCTGTGAGTTGAGTCCTGTCTATAGAAGGCGGATCCTAAATCCAAACTCAATAATAATGATTCTTTGCATGGCCAGAAGAATTGCAGATACAGAAAAAAAAAATTTCACACATACAGCATTTTCAGATCTGCAGTGCAGTCTGCAGTGATCCTTCACTGCCTTTAATGAAAATGTTAATGTAATATACTGTACATATTAGAGTTTGTCATTACCAGTGACATTAATGGGCCAAAAACAAAACAAGGTGCTTCATGTCAAAACTGGTTAGGCCTGAAAGATGAAAGATCAAAGCTGTGTTTATTACGTCACATAAAAGTTGAATCTTATCTATAAAGTGAAACAAGGTTGTAATTTCATTCTCCCCCCCCCTCCAAATGTTTGGATCTTTTGCAGATGAGAAAACAGGCAACTTCTGATTTACGAGCACTGAAGGCAGAACTGGCACATAAGAAGGCTCAGTCATCTATAAAACGCCAATCTCAAAAACAAGTGCCTTAACTGACCCCCATTTGAGATTCTTCATTATATCTTTTTATAAATATCCATGGAGGCGAGTCCTTTTGTTTAAATCTAGTAGAGATGTCGCGCAGCATTATATCCATTCTATGCAGCAACAAAGGGCAGCTGGGGAAATGGGGAGAATTTTACTTGTAGGCACCGCAGTAGCACTGCGTAGGAAAGGGTGCTAGTCTTTCCTATTAAAATTTCTAAGTTCTTGTAACTTAAAACAAATTTTGGACACACCTAGATTGACTGGATCCTTCTTCAAACCTCCTGCTACTTACAAGGCTTCACTCCGATTGTGCATATCACAAATTGAGCAGGGCAGGTTCTGTGTGTTTAACATTGCATTTGGACAGTTAATGGCTATGGATGTTGTATCCTTTGAAAAGGAAGAACATTGGTGATAAGAAGCTTGAAGGCAGATGTTAAAGAAGAATCAGTAACTGACCCTGTTTGTTCCACTCATTTATAATATATGTTAGGATCATTGTTTTACAAATCAAAATTTGTTTTTACATCTTCAAATTTAGCGCATTCTTATATATCTCATCTAAATCAGTCTCTGTCTTGCTTCCACACACAGTGGAGTCACAATCAAGTGTCAATTTAATTTTTAAATGTCTCAGTTTTTTGATACTGGTCAGGCATATCAAACATATTAGCATACATCCTGTTATTGTGCAAAAATAGGAAATAATACAAATAATTATGTTTTCTATTTTGTTTCTTGATGTAGCTGCATGAATAAATGGAATGCCTCAAGAGGCATGATCTGGGATGGGATGAAATGGGGAAAAACAGGAATGGAAGCTGCCTACCTCTACATATTTCCTTTTTGTTTTTCATGCCATGAGCTACCTATTTATCATTCTGTGTATATGTATTCATAGTGTCTGACAGATGGCTGTAGTAAAGCTCTCTATTCTGAAATCCACATTTTAACTCCTTTCCCCAAGGTATAAATGTAAAAAAACCTGCTTTTGAATCAAAAGATGTAAGATTTTTCTCTGTTTTTCTCAAGCTGCAGGATTTCATTGAGACTGAGAGTGTAGGAAGCATGCAAGGTGGAGTCTTTAGTGGCTGTTTGAAACCTGGGAATAGTTGAAGAAAGCAAGGGGATTGTGTGCATCCATTTTCTTAACCATGTGCCCAGGCCCTTAGGTGTCAGATTTTGATGGCTCCTCTCACTGACATTGTACCTTCAGTCTATAAAAGATGGAAAATAAGGGCTCCTCCAGATACGGCAGAAGTTCTGCCTCCAGTTGATAACTGTTGGTTTAGTTCAGCGGGAAGGAACACTGGCCTTACTACAGTTCTCTAACATTCTCTGCAGTTTCAAATGCCACTGCTTTTCCTCAGCATACATGGCACTTCCAGGCTATGTTCCTTGCAGCAAGAGTGAGAGAAAAATGTTACCAGGATAAATTCCAGGAAAAGAAGCCGGGTGTACGTATCACTTCCTCTAATCTCCCCCATTTTTTTAGTGGATAAGGAAGGGGGACACAACACTGTTCTACTTTTGAGGGTGGCATAGAATTCCTTTTAATTAAAAAAACATTATTTCAAAAATATGAAAGAAACCAAATTTCCCTGCAGCAATCTGTTTTCTGGTGCAATGGGGCGGGGCGGAGGGCATATTAAAAAGCAGCTGAAAGCTTCTTACCAGAAACTGCGATGGGGAAGTGCAAAACATCACTTCATGCCGTCAGCTGAACTAAAATAAACTGTGCCTCAGGAGGGGATTATAAAACAGGAAGTAATGGATTTTGTTGCTGATAGAACTGAAGTCTTGCCTCATATGGGCAGCAGGGAGGAAAACAGCAACATCACCAAGGAACCAGGTACAGTACAAAATATAAAAGACATGTTCCATCTGGACAGGCCCAAAGATTGGCTGTACAAATCTTGTATTTTTCTAAATGTGATTTATTTCGTAAGAAACAGTGCAGATTCCGCTCTGGGACCTATTCTTATCCTTAGAGATTGAGTTTCTGGAATGTAAATACTTTATATGCAGTAAACTCTGACAAGTCCTTGCTTCAAGCTTGTCCAGCCTGAAAGCCAAGAAGTACATAAACCTAGCCAGGCACCATGATGCGGAACCTTAATGTGTTGCAATTGGAAAGCTTACGAGGAAGTGCTAATTACTTCAAGCTACAGGAGACATGAAATATGAAAGAGGATATTAAAATTTTCCCAACACTCAAGAAGAGGAACTTTCCTATGTGCCATGCAAACCCAATCTCTACCTTCAAAAGAGAGTTGGCTAAGTTCATAGAGGATAGAGCTGTCAGTGGCGGCTACTTATGACTGTGCTGAGTTATCATAGAAAATCATAGAAAAGTAAAGTTGGAAGGGGCCTACAAGGCCATCAAGTCCAACCCCCTGCTCAACGCATTCAGAGCAAATGCAATGGGAGAGTAGGATAAAAATATTTCTCACAAAACAAAACAACAAAAATTCACATGGAGAGAGCAGTGCCAGAAAGGGATGAAAAGGGACTCTGGCCTCTGGTCAGACTTTTATACAGCTTTTATCCATGGCTGCTGCTCCAGCCACCCTGCGTTTCCCAAAGGAAAGCTTATGCATTCTTATCAATCCTGACACAGATCTATAGATCCAACCATTAGTCCTCCCCATATCAGATTTGGGAAGCTCTACGTAGAAGCTATACATAGTTAAAAATGCAGATTTTGTCCAAAGACATCTTGCAAAATCTTACAAATCTCTAGTAAAGGAATTAGGTTACTTCACAGACGATTAAACTGGAACAGGGCTATGCTCATTGTCAAATGTTGTAGACGGGCATTTTAGTAAGTGTTCTGTACTTCTCCCTTCTTAGGTGGATTGGGTTTGAGGCAAGGGGAACAACATTGGAGAGCTCAATTTCTAATTAGGCAATGGATGTTTATGGTGTTATCCAAGAATCCATAAACATCTACTGGTGGGCCATGGACAAGGTTTACAATGTTTATAGTCCTTTTAATTCATTCAGTGGATCTAACAGTGGACACAGAACTTTCAGCTGTTTTTCTCAGCTACTTCTGTAGAATATTTGAAGGTAAGCAGGGTGGAAACAGGATGATATGCTCCAGATTTACTTCCTTATACAATTCTCCAGAAGAAATCTGTGCCACATTTCTTTTTCCTGGTATTGAAGCAGAACTACAGAAGAAATAAGGTTTGAGGTTTGTCCCCTTGTTAAGTGGGACATGGGTTTTCCCACGATTGCAGACAGGAATGTATACCTGTAGATTTCCTGCATTTGGCAGGACTAGATGCCTTTTAGGATCCTTCCATTCTTTATATTTCTATCAGTATCATAGAATCATAAAATTGTAGAGATGGAAGGCACCTCAGCAATCCTCAAGTTCAGCCCCTGCCAGTGCAGGAAATCAATAGCTAAAGTCTTCCTAACAAGTAACCATCCAAGCTCTGCTCAAGTGGTGCATTCTCCAGTGAAGGAGAGTCCACCACCTTCTGAGTCAGTTGATACCATTGTTGAATTGCTCTTTCATTGTTTCAAAGTTCTTCTTAATGTTTATTCGTTTAAGTGGATTTCTCAATGCTCTCCAAACTGTTTTTGTCATTAAAAAAACCCTATTCATTCCTATAGAAAGGGCTTAAAATTTAGGAGTATCTGAAACATGGTTCTTGGAAAAAACATTTACAGTGTTTGCTTTGTACAGTTAATGGGAAGATAAGTATTAGATTGTTCAGAAAAATATCTTGAAAAATAGGTTTCTACATCCAATTTAAAGTGAATTACAAAGACACCCGTTCTGATACAGTATGGAAGTTTTATTGTAAACTGTGTGTTGCAAACAGTTATGCAACATAAACATATACACTCAGCATCTAGGACTCTGTGTATTGTTGCTTGCATACTCATTTCCTAGAACAGAGGTCCCTGACCTTGGTTCCTCAGATCTTCTTGGACTATAACTGCCAGAAATCCTGGCTAGCACAGCTGGTGGTGAAGGCTTCTGGAAGTTTTAATCCAAGAACATCTAGGAACCCAAGGGTGGGGACCACTATCCTAGAAGATGGCTGCCCATCATCCTTGACTGGGGTGGCAGAAAAGGATGGATAACTGAATTTAAGCCTCTCATTTTCTCCTTTCTCTGATATGCCAAATGTTCAATGCTGTCAAAGTGGATTGTGCCAAGCTATGTATTTCAACAGACTATAAAGTTCCTGAAGGGTGCATGATTTATTAATTCAGTTTTTCTTTGTCCCATTCACTCTTCCATGCAAATACCTTGTAGTAGATTGTTTGACTGTTTTATTTCATCTGGGAAATTGTGCATTTTTAATGCACAGCTTGGCACTGCACTTTATTTACACTTAGGGTGCAGTCAGAGAGCAGCAAAGGCACTTGCTTGATCACACCAGAAAGTGCTGTTTTAATGGGAGTGGTCTCCCTTAAAGTGACTTTTCCATCTGCCAAAAAATCGCTGCAGCCCAGCCTCCCAAAAATCAAGCCCTACAGCTGGGCCAAAAAGATCCAGGTTAGGTGCAAATCAGGATCAGACTGGAGTGCATTTCCCCAAGTGTCACGTGAATGCTGGGAAATAGATTGCACTGGAGCGCCCCAAAAGGAGCCCAAACTGCCTTCTATTTCCCCATGTGATCACACCCTTGGTAGCACCTCTCTAGATCGTATTTCACAGGATGCTTAATTTAAGTCAAGTGATAAACTGCTGCTGCAGTTATAAAAAGTTGGTTTTATTTATTTATTTATTTTATTTTTTCATTTTCATTCCATCCTTCTTCCATCAATCTTAAAGAAAGAAAGATAGAAGGTTATTATTGGCTTTCTTCTCTTGTAAAAAAATATACAAGTAGCTGAAATAATCCATTGTGATGATACTATATGGGACAAGATTGCAGCAAGATTAAGGCGAGATACATTCCAATCATACTTCAGCATTCTTTGCCCATTGTGTCTGGAGAAAATTAACCATTCCGCTTCTCTCATAAGTTACTTTGGTCTCAAGGCCTCCCACATTGCTTCTGTTTGCTCTTGTGATACAGAACCTCCGGAGTAATCAAGACAATCTGCATTCCACATACCGATACCCCGCAAACCACGTTCTTTCACATAGGCTGCTTTCAGAGAAATGCTCTTGGGATTATCAAACCACAATTGATGAAAACTACCATTGGAATCCTACAAAAGAATGAAATCAAGAACATGTTTACACGCTTTCTGGGTTCTTTCAAGCCAACCTCACAGCATTAAATATTCCCACAAGTAAGGAAAATCTATGAAACTCTGTGGATTAAGACTATGTTAGAAAAGGAATGCATAACTGTGCAGGATCCAAGGACTTCATCTATTCCATTTTTTAGCCACAGGGACCACACCTGCCCACTTCCCCAAATAGAAAATGTCAATATTGTAGAAATTGCTTCTGGCAGCCATTTGAAGTACAGAACTTCTCCATTTGTGGCTAATGTGATTGGGGCTGATGGTGGAAGGGCTTGCATGATTCCAGGGGCCACAGAAAAGCACTTCCCAAGACCCACATGCTCCCACTGTCCCATACAAGCACAAGCCCCAACACTTTATTAGAAATATATGCTACCTATAAGCATTCCTGTTTTATTCGTGCTTTTTGAATAAAGAAGCCATATGCTCTAGTCTTGTATGCTTTAATCTCAGTTTATATTTGCTTCGGAAACTGTGGGACAATGGAGATCAAACTTCATGCCCATCTTCCTTTAACAGATTCCTAACACTGCCAAAGGTATTGTGCAGGTAAGCCATCAGACACAATTTATTTATACATAACTTGGTGGCACATAACAACAACATAAACAATGAAAATCTTGGCAAGAAAATATTATCTCCCTTTTTTATTTTTATTTTTAAATAGCTGCCCACTTCCCAGTATTACTTTCCTCCTTTTCTTTTGCTTTATCTTTACTATATTAATCTTTATATATTTTTAAAATATCTTTTTTTTAAAGTACGTACAGAAGAATGCAAGAATAGAAAGAGAAGATCTGGAGGACGTGCGGTGTAACCGACAATGCATACTGGTGGATTTGTAGTGATAGAAATTATATTCTACCTTTTTAAATAGAATCCTTACGTAGCCCAAATTATTTTTATAGAATAATAATATTTTTAAAGTTCTCTTTATAACAATTTACCTGATATTCCAAATATGGAGATTTATATTCTTCATTCCACAAGATCCCAGAAAGAGAACTATTTTCTCGATTCATTATCGTTCTATATGGGACTTGAAGAGCTGGAGCCTTAGGGCATGGAAAAGGAATTTTTGCCAAAGAGCAAACATGGGCCTGAAAAAAAAATGAAACTTACATTATACAGCTATTTGAGAAACTTAGGGTTGGGATGCATTGGAATTTCTTGCCCATATACAGTAATGCTATGACCACACTGGCAAATAGTACAGAATTTGCTGCAGAAGTAGAACAGATTAATTTGACCTTTTCCAACCGATCACATGATGCAGAAGCCAACATGAATAACCCAGGCCTTTTTTCTTTCTTAATCTTTTCCCTGCCACCGGATGGTGTGTAGGGGGTTTCTTTCTTTCTTTTTTTTTTTAAAGCTGGAGTGATTCAAATGGTGTTTTACCCGTGTGATCAGTTGTTTTGTTCTCCAAAAAGACGGGAGGTGTAGACTGGGGATGTACTAAGCTAGGCATGATGTTCTGGACAGTGTGAATATCCATCCTTCTCCATAGTCTTTGATTTTTTTAAAACTTTTAAATAACAAATTAACAAGTTAGTGCTAGATCACCTTAGCAGTGCATTGATACATTCATTTAGTGCCTGATCACCTATGCATGAATAAAATATTTTTTTTAAAAGTCACAATTGATATGAAGTAAAAACAACTCATGTTCTACAGCAGACTAATATGGTTTTGCAGTACGCGTGTATGTGTTTGTATATTATGAACTTTGGGAAACTGTCCCTTTTCCCTAGAGCCATGCAACAATTTAAACAGCTCACCAGCTTTACAATGAAGCATAAAAGGAAAGCTGGAGATTGGTGGAGGGTGGGGTCAAAGGAAGGAGGGCCATAGCATGGATCAAGCAATGTGGGATTGAGGACCCAGTGTGAGCACTGGCACAAAATATTCCATGGCCTCTGTGTGATCCCTTAATCCAAACAGAAGCGTAAAATAGGCTGCAAATCAAGCTGCGTTAAAGCAAATTGCTCTGATTTGACTTACCAGTGCAGTTGCAGCCTAAGTATCCACAATCCTATTAATATATCCTATGAACTTCTCAATTTTATTCACAAGAATTAAGAAGGTCTCTATTTCCAAAATTATAGAGAGAGCTGTCAGTTATGTCAGCATTAAACTGGGAATATTTCTGCCATTTGAAGGGAAATGTGTGTAGGCAGCCTATGGCCTACATGTGGATATGGCATCACTAACCAAATGCTACAAGGCAATCCAGTGGAGAAGCAGTGTTTCATTTGTGCAGCTTTTTTAGTGATTACCAAAACCACTCAATATACAAATCTACTCATGCAATGGCAAACATGGAACTCCCAACAATGCTGTGTTTGTGGTTAGATGCACAACATGAGGGTGGCAAATTTTCTGAGGAACTGTGGTAAGCAAATTCTGTATTGCCCTACTATATGTAAGCCCTCACAAACTGTTGTTTTCCTCTGGAGCCACTCTGTTGTAGCTGTTTTTCCCAGATTCAGTACATTGCAAAATGGGAGGAAAGCTATTAATGTGGGGAGCAACTGAAGGGGGCAGAGTTAACCACCATGCCTCCTAACTCCTCACTCCTCTTTCACAAATACCCTTACTCCTGTTTGCACAAAAATACCAAACAGAATAGTAGTGGTACACGCACTGAAAGGAAGATTATGATGAAGAAGGGGTGGGGAACAACCAATAACAACTGTTATTTATAATTGTTCCGTCTCTGGAATTCTATTCTCAAACTGAAAACCTAAACACACTTAATTACATGTACAATACCTCTTTAATAAATGGGAGTTCTTCCTTGGTAGGTATGGATTAGTACCTACGCTAAACATATAAAAATTTTAGTAAAGAGAAAACTACTCAGTAACCCCTCCACCTCATCCCATTCCATGTTAATTTACTTTTAACCAATAGGGTCTTATGATCTAGCCATCTTCATTATACTTTAACTTGTAGTGAAGACTTCTGCCCTAATAACAGGTATCACCCCGACTTGCTTGATAAGGCGAAGGTACTATTTAAGTATATCAATCAGTATGGACCAGCCAGCATTGGATGATGCAAAGCACATTACAATACTATATTTGACGAAGAACAACAGATAACCCAGGGTATGAAAGTTGCTTGGTATCTGCATGTCAGTGGAAAATTTCCATCCACAAAAATAAAAGAACAGAAACTACAGCCAGGAAAAGTTACTGAGAAATTAGGTATCTTTCCCTTACCTCAGATAACCTTAGGCAAGTATAATCATAGCCGTACCATGGAACACCCATCACAAGCTTCTTTGGATTAATGCCCATGCGGATGTAATTGTCATATCCTAATTTAATACAAAATTTAAAATTTGTCTGGATTTTTTTCATTCTTCCCTTCAGCTACCTTTGTAGCATCAGCTATTCAAATGCTACTCAGGCAGATATTCAAGATGCAACTAGACCTACATATCTGTTTCACATGCAGCTTCATTTGTTCTTTAGTTTCATATATGATTTGTGTTTTAATTTACTCATGGAGAAGACAGCCTCAACGGTAACAGATTTGAACAGATTTTAAGATGGCTCATGCCTTACAGCTAAAAGCCCTGCTTGGCAGAGCGGCAAGGCATGTTTCTAAGAATCGGCCGCAGCAGATTGCATCTTTGAGGCTTAAAAGAACCAACACACAGTTTTGGTATCTCCTACTGCAGATTTATGCAAACATGTATTGCAACTCTGTCAAAGAGGACATCAGTGTACGCTGCCTTTAAGTAATCAACGTAAAAAGAGGTAGATTGATCATAAGTAAAGAACCAAGGATTGCTGTAGCCACTTCAAAAGGTCTCACTACTGGTTCTCCAGAGCATAAAGCAGGGCTAATACCTACCGGCTATGGTCTGCTTGTATGGAGCATTAGCTGCTGCCACGCAGTATGGCCACATTTGATTCTGTTCATCGTAAGACATCACAAACAAGAAATCACAGGAACTGGCAATTGCACTGTAGTTGTAACATCTGTGGTCTATGCATTCTGGAGACCAAGCTACATCAAAAGTTACCTATGGGAAAAAAGATGAGCATAAATCTCTTTCTCAGGATTTCAAACGAGGCTGCTATCACTGTTTCTTAGCTACTGTCTTGTGCACCTGATAGTTCTCTTGCTTTATTACTGTTTATTTTAACAAAGTTCTTAGCTACTGTCTTGTGCACCTGATAGCTCTCTTGCTTTATTGCACATAAGTTTTATTACTGTTTATTTTAACAAAATCATTTATTTAACAATGACTGCAAATCATGTTAAAACATTAACATCAAAAGGTGGGGCATAAGTTCAATAAATAAATCAAATTTGAATAGCCAGTTAGTTTAAAGTGTAAGTCTGCCCACCATCCCTGGCCTTCATAGAAGATTTGAGATCTGGTACCCACAAATATTCAGTACTGAACTGTAGGCTTGAGAAGGTAAATGCTGGCTGAAATCTAGTAGTAGGTTGCAACTACAGTACACTCATTGAATCAAGAGAATTTATAGAAGAACTGATACACCAAATCACCCCCACTGATTTAATGGGCCTACTCATTAATGAGGAGGCATTGCTTAATTTTTACCTGTGATCCTGGAATCTCTTTGTGAAAAGCTTCAGTTGTTTCTTTGACCAAAGCTGTTAACGCATAGTATTTAGCAGACCTTTTTTTAACCCTTTGTTCAATGTCTATATTGATTCCATCCATATACTGCTCCTTTGCCTCGTCTATCTTTTGCCTTATCCAGATGGCTCGGACTGATGGATCAGTAATTTTCTTCAGAGAGATGTCTCCTAAATTATAGACATGCACACACACACACAAACATATTATGAAAAAAATGGTTTTGTATTATTATGAAAAAAAAATACAATCTGAGATCACCTTGGTTTTAGATTGGGAATTGGCTGTATTATGCATCTGATTTACATAGCTATGTATTATAGCTATGGATGTATTACTTGAAGTTTATCTGTAGCTGCACTGGATGCATAGTTCTTTTCTGAGTAAACTTTTCTTGATCAACTGAAGACAGTGTAATTTGAAAATATCAACAAAAATGGTCTAAAAATATCACTGCTGTGGGAAGCTATTAGTGATATTCTGAATGTGTGCTTGCAATGTTTGTCATTAACAGTTTAACAGAGCTGAAATTTTCTACTGGTTTAATCAAAACATTTGAGCAATTAATAACATGCTCCTGGATTTTCAATTAATTTTAATACAACTATTTGTTAAAAATATATACATATAGGTAGAGGGAAACCACCACCATCTAAAAGGATGCACTGCTCCTTTTTCTTATTCCAGGCATTATGCTGCTCTAATATAGGTGTGCATTATCAAAAAAAATGTCAGGTTTGTATTCCTTTAAACATTTCTTGTTCTATACAAATGTGTGCACATTTAAATGACTGATCACTTAACTGACTAGAAACTATAAATCAAACATTTAAAATGTCTTTAACTGGGAAATCTGTCAAGTTTCAAAAGATACGTTCCCAAAGAATATACTATCAGTATTTTATGAAAACAAATCATAATGGAGATCAGCAGCCTTCCTTGAGAACAGTGATAAAAATCTAATGGCAGAGACAACTTTCACACTCTGTATACTGTATTGTGACAATACTTATATAAGGTTCCAGGTGTGTGCACACAATAGCAATAGGTTTCACTGATCTCAGTGGAGCTTATTTCTGACTAAAGATGTTGAGAATCTGGCTCCATAAAAATGTTTTCATTATTCTCGTCAGAACGTACCATTTAGAACTATCCTGGATCCTTTTGAATGAGCGTAACATAGCAATTCAGGATCGTATTTTCCAAAAATCACCACTGTTGTTATTTGTGACCAGTCATAGTACCTCCAGGTCTTCCCACCAACATCAAATACAAAGACCTGTAGATGCACAGCAGGAAAAAATTGAGCTCTGTATCACTCTGTGTTCCAATGACTTGCTTCCTCTGCTCCTTGGTGGAGGGGTAGAGGAAGTGATATTTCTTTTAAAAGACTGTAATAGACCATTGCCAATGTGTTGCATTATTTCTCTCTTTCAGACGAAGCAAAGAATTTTTTTTATAACGCTAAACATTTTTTGCATTTCCTCTGCCCTTCACAGAGAGAGAGAGAGAGAGAGAGAAATAATGCAAAACACACATACATTTTTAAATCCTTTGCCTTGTCTTAAACAGCCAGTCAAAAAACTCACTACAGTCAAATTTGCAGGTTTGGCTGCTGAAAGTTTTTCTAGTGATCTTTCAGACGAAGCAAAGAAAAATTTTTATAACACTAAACATTTTTTGTATTTCCTCTGCCCTTCATCAAGGAGCAGAGGAAGAGCTCAATTTGCTGATATCCTGAAGAGGCTAATTTATTTAGCCACTTCACAGTATCATATGTCCAAGTTGAAAGAGCCTTGACAACAAGGCTTGCTTTTCCTCTGTTTCCAGCTATCATATGTGCTAGAAACAGACCAAAAACAAAGTGATCCTACCCGCACCAAAAAAGCAGAAGCGTCTGATGGGGCTCAGAACACTCTGAAGACAAATTGGATCACTCGAGTGATTACACTGTGTGATTGCCAGAAAAAGGAGTAAACCAATCCATCCCTGTAACAGATCAAAGAGCAGTCTGCATCTGACTGCACCCCTGGATTCCTATATTGAGGGGGAGGGGATTTGTCCTTGATGGCGTGTGATTGCCAGAAAAAGGAGCAAACCAATCCATCCCTGCAACAGACCAAAGAGCAGTCTGCATTTGACTGCACCCCTGGATTCCTATACTGTATTGAGGGGGAGGGGATTTGTACTTGATGGTCCTCCTTCCAACTCCATTATTGTATGATTCTATGAAAAGGATGGCGTGGCATGACAAACACCTGTTGATTCCTACTAATCAATATATTATTTTCTCAGACTGATTGTTGAATACTGTAATCTGTTCTAGAATTCAGCTCAGTATTGACATCCCACTAACTGGTCCACAATTTCCAGGATCCACTTTTAGGAGGGCAACATTTACTCATTTCCAGTACATTTGTTTTCAAGGGATCCCCAAAGGTTACAATGTCTCTGTAAACTGTACAATCTTGTTCAGTATCTGAGTATATAATTTATTTGATTTTTCACACATAAACTCATGTAGGTTAGCTAGGTGCTCTCTAACCACATCCTTTACTTATTCTGGTATAATATATGTTACCATTTATACTTGCTCCAGACTGAAGATAACTCCCTTTGTTAGTAGGAGTCTGAGACAAAAAAGTTTAGCACTTCTACCTTCTCTTTGTCATCTGCAAAGAACTCATCCTACTTGAGCAACAAACTTAAAACTTCTCCTTGATAATGTTTTTTGTTTGTTTTTGCTTCCAAAAGAAGCCCTGTAATTTTTAGCATCTCTGGCAACCCTCAGCTCATGGCAGGATTTCACACTATTCTTGTAATTTTGAGCAACTCCATTGTATTCTTTGTTGATTTTATGTGCCTTAACTCCTATTATGCGTACATCTTTCTTTTGAATCTCAGCTCATGAGTTCCTTGTACTTCTTTTAAATGGCCTGGTTTTAGATAGGCTTGTCATGTGTTTGTGCTTTCAACATTTCAGTTTTCAGAATCTCCCATTGCTCCTAAACTCCTGAAGTTCTTGTCACACTACCCCTACATCCTCTCTTTTCAAACTTAACACTCTTTCCCCTTAGTATTTTCCTGTAGGAAGCAAACATCATCTGCTTATTAACAAAGGGAAAGCTTACGTTATACCAGAGCTTGGAAAAGATGAATTTTGAACTACTGTATAGCTCCTAGCCAGTATAAACAGTCCATGCTGCCAGGGGGATTCTGGGAGTTGTAGTCCGAAAAATCTGATTTATAATTCTGAGTGATACCCAAGCCTTCCTTGAGCCCACGTCCCTTCCTCCAACAGGTCTTGTATCTTTCAACAGTCGTACGTATCGAGATTAAATTCTACCAGGGAAGGTGCATAGTTCTGCGAGCCCACGGTTTGCGTGCAGGCGGTTCCATGTTTAGCCCTTCACGCCTCCAGATATGATCAGGCCGGGATCTTGCCTGAAGGATCGCAGTAAATGTAAATCAGGACAGTCAGACGTGCGTTTCAGCCAAAGTGATAATTTGAACTCGTGTCAGGTTCACACCTTGTGTATGTGCGGGAGTGTGACACCGAGCAACGGATCCTGGTGATAAGGAAGCGTTTGAGCAGTTCTCAAAACAAGGATGGGTAACAAGAAGCCATGTAGATATTGTTGGACTACAATTCCCAGCATCCCTCACTCTCCGAGGCAGGAGTGGCGGGAGTTCCAATCCCACAATAGGCGGTGGTCCATTAATTGCCCCTCCGTCGCAAGGCCGTAAAACTCAAAGCACACCGGTCTGCAACCCTTAGAGACACCCAGAGGAGAATAGCCTCAAGTCCCTCGATAGGCCGCCCCCTTTTTCATGACGGGCCCTCCGTTGCTGCGGATTAGCTGCCCGCCGCGTCACGCGCCCCTCCACCAATCCCATCACGCTGTAGAGACCTCTCCTTCCCCCCCCAAACGGACCGTTGCGCCTGCGCACCTCAAAATCCCTGGCGCCCGAAATGGGGGCGCAGAGGTCGGGATCTTGACAGGGGCACGCGCCGGATCCTAACCCCCAGTGGAGGAAGATCGCGATCAAGTGGAGGCACCCACTCGGGAAGAGGAGGGGGAGGGCTCCCCCTTGAACCGACTTCTTTGCCCGAGCGTGTGTCTGCATTTTCTCTCCACCCACCAGATTTTTTTTTTTGGTGCCTACGGAAGGTGAGAAGGGCCAACAGCAGGCAGCACAAACTTAAAAAGATAGACTGACCATCGCATCGTCTGCCGACGGGATACTCTCACCTTTTTTTTTTAACCGCAATTTTCCTCCGCCTGTGGGGTAAAAAGGATGCACTGCCTATAAGAAACAATGGCAAAATCCCGAACTTTTTGTAACTGCGATTGGGAAGGAATGCCCTACCCCCTAGAAAATGCTTCCCCCCCTTTTATTTTTATTTTTTTTCCAAACGCCCATTGTAAATGGACAAAAGGGTGAGCGGATGAGACTGGCTTACTGAAGACTTATACTGTACAGTAATTTTTCCGCACATTATTAAAAATATTTTTACCCCACCTTTCTCCTTGAAAAGGACCCAAGGCGGCTTGCAACAATGAAATAACAATAGTTAAAGTTGAAAACAATGAATATACAACAGTGGTTAATATCATTAAAAGACAAAACAGTATTGAAAACTACAAATAATGAATAAAGAGGCATCTTACATCATTAACAGGCAATATGAAGGCAAAGATCAATAAGCATATGTATATATATTTGAAAGCCACTCTGAGAAATGGAAAACACAAGTAGTACTAAAAATCTGATCAAAGAGGTAATGTATACCAACCTATCTAAAAATTGCACACATTGTTAGGTTGTTCTTTTGTAAATGTCTGCGAGGGGGTGTTCAGTGACAGCGTATTATGACAACCATCAGAAGCAATTTGCTGTTCAATGTCACACATAGGAAGTGAAGCTGAGCTTCAGAGTGACTGACTGCAATGTAACTTCCATATGGTGGGGAAAGAGGGTGCGGAAGCTAAAGAATAATTTTTGGCATGGTTAGAATGTTGGGACTATGATTCGGGAGACTCGGGTTCAAATCCCTCCTTGGCCATGATATTGCAGAGCTTTGAATTTCTGGGAAAATACTTAACATATAAAGACTCACAGAGGAGAATATCCTCAAGTTCCCCACATAGTCTGCCCTTTTCTCATTAACTGGCACTTTAGGTCTCAGTAACTCACCCTGAGACATTTGTAGAAAGAATAAAAGTGCTCAAAATTACTTAAAGTTGTGAACAGATCAACAGCAAACTAACAAATAACTGACTTCAACATTAAAGAGAAGGAGACGAACACTCAGCAGAGAGGCAGGGCTCTGTTTGAATTCAGAGGCAGGAAGGAATGGTTGGTTGGTGCTGGATAGGCCGAAAAGCACCCTAGCTCACAAACGCCCCCTCCCAGTCACTCAAACCACAGGCAGCATACAGTATGAGGTTGTAAAAGTGCTAGCACCTGACACCCAGATGGTGAGCAAGGTCAACCACAGTCTGTCAGTCTGACCTATCTCAAAGGGTTGTTGTGAAAAAGGGCAGAGGTGAGTCATCTATGCCACCTTGAGCTCACTGGGCAAACAGGGGAATAGAAATGCAATAATAAAGATATCAAAGTCCACTATTTTGAAGGCAGTTAGCATTGATATGGTTGTGTCTTGAGCACCCAACTTCACCCTGGTAAGGACAATCGTGCAAGTGGGTTTTGTATGTTGCCGGTTTCCTATGCCCTACATTTACAGCAAAGGTAGACTTAGTAATATATAATCCCCAGTCCGTCTTCTGAACCAAAGTGAATAATTCCAAATCTCCTGTTACACAGCATTAAAACAAATTTTTCAAGATAATTTGAAGCTGGGCACATTAACGTTTGATGTGAGGGCTCCCCCTAGTACCACTTGTCTTTGTCAGAGTTTGTAGGCAGCACATTTTTGATAGGGATTTTCTTTGTGAAGGAAGAAAAAGTACTGTATGAGGAAAATACAAGCATGCAGTAGTCATACTTTGCAGGTTTGAAGAGAGATTTTTGCTACTCCTGCCCCATCCTGGTTGCCATAAATACATAATAGCTCTCATCTAAGTCAACAAATAGTGAAAATACCTGCTTTAATTGAAAGGAAGTAAAACCCACTGTAGCTACCTGGGTTCCTTTTAAGGAGAATGGCGAGATAAAAATATTTTAAATAAATAAATAGGATTGCTGCCTTAGGCCAGAACAGACATTTGTGGTTTGTCACATGAAACAATCATTCAATATTTCTCAGAGGAACGTCTGAAACATTTGTTTATTTACAATATTTTTATCCCACCTTTCTCCTTAAAAAGACCCAAGGCAGCTTACATCATTAAAAGACTATATTAAAGCTAACTACAGTGAGTATACAAATACTAAAAAGGTTTAAATAAACACCATACTAAAAATAATAATATCAAAGCACATTCAAAGCAATAGGGTGCAACCATCTGTTTAAAATTGCCACTCAGGCAGCCAGTCACTCACTCAGGAAAACCTTGCCAGAAGAGAAAGGTCTTCACCCACTTGCAGGAGGACAGCAAAGATGGGCCCAGCCTGGCCTCCTGTGGGAGGGAGTTCCAGAGGAAGCAACAGAGAAGGCCCTCTCCTGTGTCCCTGCCAGACGCACCTGTGAAGGTGGCAGGACCGAGAGAAAGGCCTCTCCTGATGATCCTAATGCTCAGCCAGGCTCATAGAAGGAGATGCAATCTTTTAGACAGCTTGGACCTGGGCCATTGAGGGCTTTATAAGTTAAAACCAGTACTCTGAATTGAGCCTGGAAACAGATTGGCAGCCACTGGATTATATGATCTGGCTATTCATTTTTAACCCACTAAAAGGCAGCCCCACATAGAGCACACAACAGGAATCCAACTGGGATGTAACTATTCATTCATTCATTCATTCATTCATTCATTCATTCATTCATTCATTCATTCATTCATTCATTCATTCATTCATTATTTTTATTTGTTTTTTTATTTGTTTGTTTATTTGATTTATATCCCACCCACCTGGTATATTCTACCACTCTGGGCAGCTTACAACATAATATAAATAAATTAAAATAGCACAGAAGCAACTAAGGTCAGTGTGGCCAGATCAGACCTCTCCAGGAATGGGTGGAGCCAGCACACTAGATTTAATAATGCAGTGGCACTCCTGGCTACTGCTGAAACCTGGACATCCCAGCTCAGAGACGAATCCAAGAGCAACCCCAAGCTGCACACCTGTGTTTTCAGAGGGAGTGCAACCCCATCCAGCACAAGCCACATCCCTATTCCTTGATATGCTTTTTGACCGACCAGGAGCATCTCTGTCTTGTCTGGATTAAATTTCAGTTTATTTGTCCTCATCCAGGCCATTACTGACATGTGGGGAAAGGGTGACAACCTGATAAAATGTAAATGTCCTTGCAGCAGGTCTGCAGCTCTATGTCGCAGCACACATTGGTTATCTAAAAGGCTTCAGGTTTCGTTCTTGGTATTTCTAGATAGATTGACCGAGGTACGTTCATCTGAAATCTATGCAGTCAGCATAGATAGTACAGAGTTAGACCAATGATCTGATACCATATACCTTTCTGTTTTCCAAAACAAACATTTACTTTGAAAATGAATTGGTAAACCAAATGGAAACATTACACTAAAAATAAAATCTGATTATGAGTCCCCGAGTTAGTTAATTTTGCAGAGGACAAGGCAAAGCCCTTCAACATTTATAGCCACAGATCAGCAGTCCTGGTGTGTTGAAAAGGTAAGCACATTCAGCACCTTGACCTAGGTGAGGGAAACAGTTACTGATTAACTAATGCAATCTCACTTCCACCCCTGTGGAAAATGGATGTTGCTGTTCTCTGGACTGCAGCTGTACAGAAGATACTGCACAGTATTGCTGTGCATCTTGGTGTCACTTTCCCCCCGGCCTTGAGCCAAATGTTCTCCAGTTTCTTAAATCTAGGGGAAAACTCCACTTGGGACTAGGCAGCATTCACATCACTGAGACTATTTTCGTGTCAGAGTCCAGTTATGTTTTCTTATGTAAAAAAATAAATAAAATCTTGAAAAACGTCACAATAATTCTGCCATATTTAAAGATGTGTGTCAAAGTGAAAAAAGAACATCTCAAAGCAGGACTACGTGACTACAGAAGAACTACACAACTTTAAGGTTGACAGTGCAGAAATTGAAAGATATCGTATACTTGGAAGGGCAGCAATGAAGGAATTAGAAAAAAAAATCATCAACTGTATGGATGTATCGCTGGAGACCAAGGCCAACATCATTTGCACTTTAGTATTCCCAGTCACCATGTACCAGTATGAAAATTGGACAAGAGTTTGCACGAGCTGAGCAGGGCTGTCGAGGACTGGACATTTTGGAGATTGCTTATTCATAGGGTTGCCATAAGTTGGAGGTGATTGGACAGCACATAACAACAATAAAGGAAGCTGATGGGAAAATTAATGTTTTTGTTTGAAATATGGTGCTAGGGGAGAGCTTTCTGAATACCCTGGACTACCAGAAAGTTGAACAAGTAGATCCTAGAGCAAATCAAGCCCCAAACTTTGAAGAACTTTCCCTGGCCAGTTGCAGGTCTCTCTTTTCACATCTGTGGCTCTTTGATTCTCCAATCCAAAGTCCAGGGGGTGACTTAAGGGAAAAGGGCTAAGCTGGGAGGAAATGGACAGGAAAGTGGACAGACAGAGGAAGGGAGAGATCCCAAAAAGCAAAGCAATCGCAGGAGGAAAGGGAGAACAGAATCTGATATTCAAGCAAAGCTTTGAGCAAACAATAAGATGTTAGTCTGCCATGGACTGGTTCTATGGCAGTTAGGCTATTAGTCCTGTGTGCCTAATTCATTTGCCTGTACATTACCCATAACTTTGCTTTGCAAATTCAGCTTTTATTTGCAACGCAATGCATCTCTGGCTCTGCCAGAGACACCTTTTTCCTATTTTGTCTTGTTGCCTTTTTCTTTCATTCAATAAAGTTTTTAGCTAGACTCCTTATCTGGTTGACGTGTTCAGAGAAACCACTGGTTACCTAAACATCAAAGCCTTGACATTGTTCATTCACATATAGCAAGGGGCTTTTGAGCATGCTGAGGGAGGAGACAGGATCATAGTAACAAAGGGGATGGTGGTAGCTTAAAGAAGAAATAGGAAGGAGTCTTCTCTGTGCCTCTGGAGCTTAGTGGATGTATTTGTGAACCAAAACTTGTCAAGAATTTCTCCAGCTTGGCTGAAAGGGTGCTGGGCACATTAACCCCACTTGGAAGGGCTTAGAGACAGGGAAGAGTCTCTCATAGGCACATCGTGACCCGGAAGATTCTCTGGAAAAGACAATAAAATTGGGAAAGGTGGAGGCAGCAAGAAGGGAAAGACTAAATACAAAATGGATGGACTCCATAAAAGCAGCCACAGGCTTGAGTTTACAAGAGCTGAGCAGGGCTATTGAGGACAGGACACATTGGAGTCTCTCATTCATAAGGTTGCCCATAAGGTTGCCACAAGTCGGAGTTGACTTGACCGCAGGTAACAGCAGTTTGTGTTGGATGTGTGGACTCCCCCTAGTACCACTTGTCTTTGTCAGAGTTTGTAGGCAGCATATTTTTGATATGAGAATTTTTTTGTGAAGGAGGAAGAATTAGGAAGAAATAACAGTTCTCATTTGTCTGGCTACATGGTCAAATACTACAGGATTTGATCTGCTTATAAAGCAAGTGAATCTGAACTATTTTTCCTGCATGACACGAAGGCTGATTTGAATTGACTCAACCCATTTTGCTTCCCAAGTGTTTTTTCCCCTGCCACTGGGGCAACTTTTACTTTTTCAAGCTGGAACAATTTGAACGGGCTTTCCTCCATGTGGTTAGTTGTGATATGTCCTTGTAAAGATGAGGGGCCTGTCTGTAGGTGGTATTTTGGTGATGTAGTAAGTTGGGACATTATGTTCACGGCTGGGGACATGCCATTATATTCTTTCCTCTCCTCTGATCATCCAAATTTTTAAAATTTTGAATATATCTTACATATATGAGACTAGCACTAGATTTCCCTGTCACCTTATCACTGAGTCCTCATTATAAGTACTTTCCATATTTATGTCCAATAAAAAGATCAGCAGAGGCAAGACAAGAGGGAGGAAAGATTGACAGAAGCAGGACCAGAGGAAGGAAGCAAAGAAGGAGGGCTGTGGGCTGCAATATAAATCTTATTATATGCATGAACGATGCTACATAGGGGATGTGGAATCAATCCATAGCCCTTTGTGAAAGCAGGACCAGAGGAAGGAAGCAAAGAAGGGCGGCTGTGGGCTGCAATATGAATCTTATGAATCTTATTATATCATGCATGAATGATGCCACATAGGGGATGTAGAATCAATCCATAGGCCCTATGTGAACACTGGCTGTGATTTCAAATATAATACAGGCTGAGAATCAAATACAGCAAAGCCAAATTGCTCTGATTTTACTTTCCAGTATAGTTGCACCACAGGTTGACAAAGTGAGCATGCCTGCTGCCATTGAGTCAAGTAAGACCCATTATAGGACTGTAGCCTTAGCCTACAACAGATATTTATGCTTTGCCACATGAAACAGGCATTCAATACTTCTCAGAAGAACATCTGAAAACATGGGGGGAAGGGTGAGAAACTGATAAGATGTAAACTTCGTTGCAGTAGGTCTGTGTCTCAATGATGGAGATCACATTTGTTATCTAAAACACTACAGATTTAGTTTTTGGTATTTCCAGATGGAATGACTGGGGCACCTGTGTTTTTAGAGGGAGTGCAACCCCAACCAGCACAGATTGCATTCCTATTTCTTGATCTGCCTTTTGACTAAACTTTAGTTTATTTACTCTCATCCAGTCCATTACTGCCATGTGGGGCAAGAGTGAGAAAATGATGTAAATGTCCTTTCAGTAGGTCTGCACCTCAATGATGGAGCACACATTTGTTATCTAAAGGGCTTCAGGTTTAGTTCTTGATATTTCCAGATAGAATGACTTGGACACATTAATCTGAAATGTAGGTGGTCGGCATACTTAGTAGAATTATACCAATGGTCTGATACTGCATACCTTTCTGTGTTCCTGAACAAACATTTGCTTTGAAAATGAATTGATAAACCAAATGGAAACATTATACTAAAATCATATCTGATCACGAGTTCCTGAGTGAGGTAATTTTGTAGAGGGCAAGGCAGAGCCCTTCAGCATTTGTAGCCACTGTGAAGGACAAAGGGACACAGAGGCTCTTGTTGGCATGTTATCGCCCTCCAACCAAGAACCAGAGGATCCCACGAAGTTGACCATGCAGATGTCTCCACCCATATCAGGGGTAGCTGAAAAACGGCAAGCTACTGGGCTAATCTAGGCAGAGATGTCAAAACACAGAGGCCAAGATGGCTTTTTGGTTCTGGGAGTTTAGGGACAATCCCCAGGAAATTGATAGGAACTGGTTTTCCCCTGGCAGATGAGTGATATAGAATGCTCTGCTGACAGGGGAGACAGAATTAGGACTTGAAAAGGAAGAAGATATGATAGAAGCCTCAGCTTGAGGAGAAGCACTCTCTCCAAGCCTCAAAGCTGAGGACGACATGGGGGAAAGGGAGAGTTGAGAGAGACTGAAGACACAGGGAGGAATAAATCCATCAGTTCCCAAGGAGATGACAGGTGGGACTGAGTCTGAAAGAAAGGATCCCATCAGACAGAGACAGCCTGGGAAGAAAAGGTGAAGAGAGAGGTAGAACCTGCTGGGCCCAAGATAAATGGTCAAATAATTACTGGGCTGAGGAGTCCGTTGAAGAAGTCGTCGTGGGGAGTGGGACTACATATATAAGGATAATCCATGGAGAGGAGTGTGAGTGCAGTTCCAGGTACTAAAGTGAGGCAGCCAAGTTTGAATATAAAGCATGACCTTCCTCTCGGGGGGGAAAGAAAAAGCCAAAGAGGGGCCAGAGGAAAGGAGCCAATTCTACCCCACATGTGGGTAAACCCCAGTGGAGAAAGAAGTCCCGGCAATGCCCACCCTCAGAGGAAAAGAGACCAGAAGCAGTGGAAGGAGACCATCACCGCCACACTCACTTGCCCTTGGGGCAGTCATACCAGTCCTCTCTCCTGGAGTCAAGCGCTGAGAGAGAAAATCCCAAGTAACTGAACTGAACACTTTGATCAAGTCAGGAGCTCAGTGGAGAGAATGGAGTTCTTCTTGAGGGAGTGAAGCCTCATTCATTGGGGAATAGTGTCTGGGAGTGGCGGACTCATAAACGTGGAACAGAGACTGTATCAAGAACTGAGGGTCTTCTTTCCTATGTAATAGTTTGCTGTCTTCTCACTTTGATCAAGTCAGGAGCTCAGTGGAGAAAATGGAGTTCTTCTTGAATAGTTTGCTGTCTTCTCCCCCATCTCCAAGATTCAAAGAACCCTGTTGAATCTCCTCTGTTACCGAGTGTGCGAGTACAAGGGTAGAAAGTGGAGCTCCCATCAAAGCTACGAGATTATTGGGGCTCACAGCCATAGATCAGCAGCCCTGATGTACTAAAAAAAGATAAGCACATTAGCACCTTGACCTAGATAATGTTGACTTAACTAATGCAGTTTCTTCTCCACTCCTATGGAAAATGGATGTGGCTGTTCTCTGGATTGCAGCTGTACAGCAGACACTTATGCGGTATTGTTATGTGTGCCTTGGTCTCACTTTTTTCCTGCCCTGAACCAAATGCCGTTAGCAGTAGGAGAACTGGGTCTTCCAGTTCTATATCTAGTTTCCAGTGGTAGTGAACAAAAATTGAATTTTTTAAAAATATGCTTTTGTAGTGTGTTTCTCTACTCTCATTGGGCAGTATTAGATCCTGCTACAGATTCTGAGAGTGAAAGGCAGGGGAATCTAGGTCAGTGAGAGAATGATAGAAAAGTGAGATTAGATACAGAACGGCTATTTTCCCTTCCATTTCTCTCTCTCCCCCCCCGCCCAGGCCCCATTCTGTGGAATTCAGGTACAGTAGAAGGAAAATACAGACACAAAGTACTTGAAAGTAATTTTATTCACTTATTCATTTGTTTGTACTTCACCCTTCTGCCCATAATGCAATCATTGAAAAGAATGGATTAAAATTATCAAAATACATTTTTAAAAAAAGGAAAGAATACTACATATAAGTTTTATGTGGCATACTATGGATAGTCTCTTATGGTCCCTCTGGTGTCAAGGCTTCCCACATTGCTTCTGTTTGGTATTCGGCTACAGAGCCTCCAGAATAGTTAAGGCAATCGCCATTCCACATACCGATGCCTCTTAGGCCAGCTTCTGTCACGTAATCTGCCTTCAGAGAAATGCTTTTAGGATTATCAAACCACACTTGATGGAAAGCGCCATTTGGAGCCTACAAAAGAGTGTAACAGAGAATATGTTAACATGGCTTTATGGATTCTTTAAAGACGGCTGTAGAGTCAGAGGTTGGGAGTAAAGCCCCAGTCTCCACCCCATGCCACCAGGTCGCACCAGACCCAGAAATGGATAACATTTGCCATTTTAAAAATGAAAAACTGAACAGGGATCTGAGGGTCATATTTTGACCAAATTAGGGCACTTTTTGTTTTAAAAATCTGATTTTAAAAAAATGGCCACTGTTAAGCTTTTGGAAAATTGAAAAATGAAATGTTTCACAAATTTAAAACGCTATATAAATAACATGATAATAAGCAAATGATTACATTTGAACACAATCCTAATAGTTTTGTAAGTTAAAACCTATGAAATCAACTATGCTGGCATGTGAATGTAACTTGGTCAAAACAGTCTGGTATATTTGCAAGATGTGTGGGTGTTCCCTGACACTCAGAAGGACTAGATTTCCAGAAGTTTCTTCCTTGGAATAAATATCTAGCTGAGCTGACAAAAAACATTTTTTATTCCAACAGGCCCTTGGTACATAAGCTAACTTGAAAGCAGCTGTGATTTGTTTTAACTTGTTGGTTCATCTTCTTTTGAGTTCATCCCCTGCCCCCAACCCCAGCTTTGCATTTTACCGTTGTTTTATTTCATTTTATGTTTTTGTATTATTGTTGCTAGCCAACCTGAGCACTGTTTTGACAGAAAGGAAAGATCCAAATTCCATAAGTACAATGTTGGTAAGCAATTTGCTGTCTTTTGGTATATTATTTGTCTGGTTTTACATTATTTTAAAAATGACTGTTTTGATTTTTTTAAAAAAAACTGACTTAGTGATTATGGAAGAAATATAGTGTATCATTTTTAAAAACAAATAAACCACATGGAAATGACACAACACTGGGAAGCTAGTCCTCCTTTAATACATACATCACTAGAAAAGCTGATGTAATTAATAATAAACATTCACAATGTTTATTATTAAAGAAAAGGAAGGGAAAAAAGCCACATCCTTTTTTAACAGTTTCATGTCGTTCTCTGAATTCTTTTCTATTAACAACCTGTTTGTCTGGAGAAGGATATGTGAATTAGTTGTTGTGTAGCCGACATATATGCACGGGGATTTGGGAGAGAAAACAGGGATTATCTCTCTGGATACATCCTGTAATATCCAGTGGCCAAAATTCTGTTGTATAAATTACTTTTTCAGAAGGACAATGACATCACCAGCAAGGAAAGATTTCTTATGGAGCGAAAAATACGGTAGCTGTTGTGTAGCTGACATATATGCAGGGTGATTTGGGAGAGTAAACAGGGATTATCTCTCCGGATACATCCTGTAATAGCCAGTGGCCAAAATTCTGTTGTATAAGTTACTTTTTCAGAAGGGCAATGACATCAACAGCAAGGAAAGATTTTTCAGAAATTAAATACTTCCTCCTCCTTTCCTGCAACTCATCCAACTTGCAAGTTATCTATCTATAACCAACAAGCCAGATAGAGGAATTATTGAATTCTCAAAGCTCTCCACTGCCAGCTTTTGACATAATAGAATATGTTGTTCTGGAAAACCCAAAGGATTTACCACATTGGTCCTGCTAGAGCAGTGGTTCCCAACCTTTTTTGAGTGTTGACCCGCCCCCCCTTTTATAATAGCCCAAGTAACCCGCAACCCCCTGCCATGTTTGCATAAAAAGCCATTTTTAATGGAATAAAGTCATCACATATAAGGCGACCCGCAACCCCTCAGAAAACTTTGCGACCCAACTGGGTCATAACCCACAGGTTAGAAAACATTGAACTAAAGTGACTACTGTATTGTGACCTCTAAATTTTTATTTTCCCCGCTACTATCTGGCGAATTTATTTAAAGCAGTGAAATAATTTTGAGAAAATAAATTGCTATTACTTACTTTGTATTCCAAATATGGTGCTTCATATTCCTCATCCCACAGGATCCCAGAAAGAGAGGTATCTACCTGATCCATGATGAGTTTATAGGGGACCTGGCGCCCTGCTGCATCACTGCATGGAGCCCCTCGGAAAGGGACTTTTGCTATGGAACACACATGATCCTGAAGAAATACAAGTCGTGTTAAACAGATGTACAGTATTCGAATTGCCAAAAGAAGGTTACTGTAATTTCGACATCCACAAAAATACAGTCTGTCTTTCTTTTACCTCAGATAAGCTTAGGCAGGTGTAATCATAGCCGTACCATGGGACACCCATCACAATCTTCTTCGGATCAATGCCCATGCGGATGTACTGTTCATATGCTATTAAAAAATTCATATAAAACATAAAAAAATTACTTGTGTGCTTTTTAGTCTTTCTTACTAATCCTAATTTCCATGCCTACGTGTGTTACTGTACATGAAGAACTCAAATGCATTCTTTTTAAGAGAAATAAATAAAATGCTTGCTTAAAGCAACGATAAGCATAGTTTTAGTTGTGTTACTTCCTCAGAATACTTTCTAATAACTGTGCAAGACAATGCCTGTGCATGGTATAGCTGCAACTCTCAATTCCTCTTGCCTCCTTAAGATTCCTTCATCTATGCAGAACTTGAAAGAACTGTCCATATAAAATAAAGAAGCAAGCTAATGAGATAAATCTTGTTTTGGTATGTACAAACATACAGTACTCTAAAGCTGAAGAGGTAAACAACGTTAAAATGCATAATTGGGTTTTTTAGCAATTAATTAGAGTAAGAAGCTTGTGAAGGTCTTATTTTCAAAGATATTTTGAATATTTAATTATAATAATCATGTGCCATCAAGTCAATTCTGACTTATGGTGACCCTTTCCAGTTTGGGGGTTTACTATTCCTTTCTTCTGGGGGCACCCTGGGATTGTGCAGCTTGCCCAAGGCCACCCAGGATGGCTCCACTCACAGGATGCACAGTGGGGGATTGAACTCCCACCCTCTAGTTCCATACCATATGCCTAAACCACTGAGTTATATTTAGTCAAGAATTTTTGATTCGTTTTGAATAGAGGGGAATTCACTATGGGAATGACTAATGGAGGATGGGTCCTCTTATTTATTAAATATGGCGACATAAGCTGTTTGCTTGCATTGATTAAGAATAAAGACTATGCCACTGCTTGAAGAATTATCAGCAGCTAGGCAGCATTTCCCATTCGTGACAGAAAGGCTGAATAGGAATTATTATCGAACGGATCAATTGGATCCCCACTGCAAATGGCCCCACTGACTCACTCCCAGGTGTGTGTGCAGTCCTGTATTTTATAAATTTACCATACAGTATCCTTTAATGTGATGGATTATACACAAAGCAGAAATGGCCTTATTTTTTATCTTTTAGTTTTTCTCAATTCTGGTTCTTACCAGCTATGGTTTGGTTGTATGGAGCATTGGCTCTTGCTATGCAGTCTGACCAGACTTGACTCTGTTCATCATATGACATCACAAACACGAAATCACAAGATTCAGCAATCCCAGTGTAGTTGTAACATCTTTTGTCTATGCAGTGGGGAGACCAGGCTATATCAAAAGTTACCTGCATAAGAAAGGAAAACACAAATCGATCTCTCAGAATGGGCTTTGCTAATACAGCTTTGCATAGAAGCCCATTAAAAATATTACTAATTAAGGAAATCCAGGTGCTTTCAAAAGAGATTGTAGCTTAGGCACTATAATGAAGCTAAACCAGACTTGATTTTCTGAGAACTAGTTTACAGACTCAGAAAGACATAATGCTTTTTTCATGCTACACTGCAGACATTTAAAGGCAGCAGAATGTATTTCGTCGTTCGTAGTAATGATTTATTGAATTTAATTTGATTTCTATGGGAGATGAATACTACTGGTCAGAATCCCACTGGATATTACATTTATAGGTGGAATTACTTGCTTTGTCACAGCCAATTGACAAGGTGCCTGTTGTGTGTCAGCTGCATTGCCCAATGGCGTGCCCAGCAGCTTGTCAATGAGCTGCAGCTGTTTCCATTATTCACCTTTTCTGTGTGTTAAATATCCAATGTGATTTTGACCAGTGTTTGCGAATACAAGTACAAAATAATATATGCACCATGCAATAAGATGAAATACTCTGTACATACACATTTTTATAGCTATAACTATAGCTATGAGCAGAGCTTTCTTGGGGGGACGACAGACCTGCATAAGTTGTTTGGCACTAAATCAAAGGCAGTCCTTTAGCCATTGACAGCAGCCTATCAAAAGCTCCCGGCACTTCCTGTTTTGATGCCCACCTGTGTTTTAAGGAGTTGCCAAGTATTTAGCAAGCCACACAACATACAACTGGGAGAACTGTACTTAGCATAGTGTGTCACAAGTTAAAACAAGATGATCTGAGATGGGAGCTTAGAGAAGTGAATATTTTCAGTTTACTTATACTGTATAAATTACAAAAAGTCACAAACTTTCACATATGTCAGTCACCACATGCCTTAGGTCTACTATTTTAATCATGTGAACTGCTGTTATTGCTATTTTCTTGTTAAATGTAACTTAAACTTACTTTTAAAAAAATAATGAGGTGGAGGAGCACATTATTCAATTACGTCGTCTTCCAAAACACTAACCACTACTGTGAGTTTTAACTGAAATCTATTCCATCCGACCCAGATTTAATACAAAAACTGCAACTGTGACTCTAAATGCAAATCTGAATGACCTTCCTGAAGTACCATTTATTCCATGTTGAATGTGTGTCCACCAGCAGTGTTTTCATCACCATCATAGAACTGCAGAGCTAGAAGGGACCCTCTGGATCATCAAGTCCAGCCCCTGTCAAGTGGGGATTCCAAGCCAACCTCTGGCTCTGCATCCAGATGTCTATACCACTAAGCTATCCAGCAGTTCAAGTGTGGTAATGTGTTTTAAACTGCTTCTTAAATTTTTTTAGGGGAAATTGCATTAAATTGGTGTTTCGCTAACTTGATGTTCTACAATGTACAACTTGATGATCATTTCTTGATTCTGAGATCCTTTGAGAAAATTTCGTAATTGTAAATGCAACATTCTGATCATGTATATAAACAAATCAAGCAATTGGATATTTTTTAAATGTTTACCTGAGATCCAGGAATTGCTTTGTGAAAAGCTTCTGTTGTTTCTTTAACCAAAGCTGTTAAGGCATCATATTCTGGTGAAGACCGGGCAACCTCTTGCTCAATGTCTATATTGATTCCATCCATGTGCTGTTTTTTTGCCAGGTCCACCTGTTGTTTTATCCAGGCTGCTCTGAAGGCAGGATCAACAATTTTTGTGACAAGAACATCTCCTAAAGAACAAGTGGTGATTAGGTGACTGCGGTCTACAAGGGGAAAAACACTGTTTTCTAAATATACTTAAAATGTACTGTTTTTTTGCCAGGTCCACCTGTTGTTTTATCCAGGCTGCTCTGAAGGCAGGATCAACAATTTTTGTGACAAGAACATCTCCTAAAGAACAAGTGGTGATTAGGTGACTGTGGTCTACAAGGGGAAAAACACTGTTTTCTAAATACGTATACTTAATCATCCTAAATATATTTAATCATAAATATATCCCACTCATCTCCACTGGATTTGCTTTGTGATACTATATTTAGAAGTACAGCCAAAAACATTTATTTCATACTTTCCATATCTAGGTACATTGATCCTCCCTTTGAATCAAAGTATCTAGATATACGGTAGATCCAAACTAAAGCAATGTTGGAATTAAAAATAAAACCCACAGTGGACTTAACAGCATGGTCTGTTCCCACTAAATATTAGTTGCATGGAAACTGACTCAGAGAATTTGCAATAAACATATTGTTAATGAATTATATGGTTTATAAAGTGACCCATATCAAAGATTTAAGGGTGATGTTCAATACAATAAAATTACCAGATACAAGCGAAAAAGCCTGTAAAACAAATGTATTAATGAACAGGAAATATGTGTTGGAAACTGCTTGTCAAAAAAGGAAGGTTTTCAGCAAAGACTGAAAACAGAGAAGTGTGGATGCCCTTACCTAAAGGATGGGCACTGCATTAGATGGGAACTGGTAAGCAAAAGTCAATTGCATGGGACAATCCCTGGCCACATAGTTCAAGGATTCATATGCTGCCTAGCATCCAAACGCTGGCAGAATTTTACCATGGGGAAGCTCCCATGTTACCAGTGAAAGCTCAGCTCTTCACAGAAAATGGGATCTGGCCTCTTTCCGGAACAGTTCTTTGTACATACAACGTGTCAGCAGGGCAGAGTATGCACAGGGCAGAATTGCTGAACGAGAAGGTTGGATGAGGCAAGAAAATATATAGTGAATCCATGACCGCTTTAGCAAGAGGTCACAGATACAAGCATGAAGCGATGACTTGAAAATCTGTGCGTAAAGAGGGAGTGAAACAAAACTAATAGTAGAAGGGGCTTCAGATGTTGCTTAAAACACAAACAATATCAAAGTCATAGGACACGTTACTGACCTTTTGTGAACGTATTGATGATCAGACTTCATATACTTGTCTGCTAAGCTTTCTCTTTTATTTTGCTGACAGCCCGGGACTGATTTGCTGACATCATTGCTTAGTTTGGATCAGAAGCTTTCTCTTTTATTTTGCTGACAGCCCTAGACTGATTTGCTGAGTTTGGATCAGAATCTGGCAAAGTTAGTTTTTTTTGGATCAGACCTATGAAAATCCCCCAACCAACTCTTGCAATTGCAGTCCCCAAAGGCAAGTTTTCTAGGCTCTAGTCTGGATGACCTCCATGCTGCAGGACAGCAAAGGGAGTGGCTTGCAGCTCTGTATTCTGACTTTCAATGACATTGTGGCACCTCGAAGACCAACATATTTACTGTATTTCTGTGTGAGCTTTCATGGATTACAATCCACTTCCTCAGACACATGAAGCATAATAATCAGGCCACAGGTTTGCACACACAGACTACATGGTATAAAGGGAAAGTGAATAAAACCTTATTACCTTGGTTAGAACATACCTTTTAAAACGACTCTAGCTCCTCTTGAGTGTGCATAACACATAAGCTCAGGATCATATTTTCCAAAAGTTGCAACGGTTGTAATGTGTGTCCAGTTATAAAACCTCCAGGTTGACCCACCAATATCGAATACTAATACCTGCAACGGCATGAAACATAAATCCGTCCGTCTCTTTCTCTCAAAAGCATGGCACACTTTCTCTCTTTATTTATCTCATTAAACTATGTGCCTTATTTAATAAAGTTTTAGCCTTCATTTTGATTGTAATCCTTGAGAGAGTTTATAAACAATATTAGAACTATCATCACACAAATACTCTATATTAAAATACAGCAAAACTGAGCCATTGGCTTTAAATATCAGCAACAAAATGCTATTAATAATAATAAAAAAACTCCACTAAAAACCAGGTAAATAAATGTATTTTACTTAGTACCCCAATACACATCTATGGTCAAATGCTAAGTTAACATTTTGAATTCATAGAAACAGATGACCCATGGAAAAGGGATCTAAACAACCTGAATGTTGTATATGACTTGAATCAACCCACGTTAAGAACCACTGATCTAAACAACCTGAATGACTTGAATCTGATTATCCAGTAAAAGTATGGGATCAGAAGTTAAATACTTTTGCCTAGCTGAACCTATCAGTTTGAGGAACTGAATGTTTTCTTAAGAAAATTAACAACAATTCAGAGTCAACTAACTGACATAAAGCATGTGGCTGATACCATTAATTATTCCCCATTTTAGTAATAACCATAAGACATTTTGTAATTTTAAGTAATACTGTGTAAGATTCAATCTATTTCCTAGGAAATAGTAGACAAACATTTGCAGCTTTTTGATCATTAGATAAGATGGGTTTCCCATCTGAATATTTTAACAAGTTAACAGCTAACCAGAAGGAGAAGGATATTAAAAAGTCAACCTATATTCTTGGGAAATGACAGGCTGACATTTAGGCATGAACATGCAGATGAAGAAATCTGATCTGACCGTTTCAAACAGCTTGCTAGAAGAGGAGTCTCTTAATTGCTTTGCTTCTAATAAATACCTGCCCCAAATCTTCTCAGTAAAAGCGGCTATTATAGTTCAGTACTCCTTTTTGCTCCTATTTGTCACTTCAGCTGGGAGAGACAGCATGTCTTGACAATTGGTGGATGGAAGATACCATTTAAATTATTGAAACTATATTGAATGGGAGACAAAGAACAGCAGACTGTGCCAAAATGCATCGGGAACTATTTTGTAATACCAAGGACTTTCTTAACAACACAATTCTACATACGTGTACTCAAAAATAGGTCCCACTGAATTCAGTGGATCCTCTCCTCAGGAAACTGAGTAGAAGATTGTTTGCTTTTTCACCCATTCGCCTGGCATTTAAGTTCTATCTCTAACTGACATAATCCCTCTTTGTAAGATATCCTGAACATGCGAGATTTAAAATCGGGCATAGAGATGGGGCTTGCCTGTGCCGTTCCCAATTCTAATATGCCGAATCACACTGCCACAGCGCCTCATATCCTCAGACATTATGCGTGAAGCACCAAGGTCAGCAGGATGTTGTCTTCATGTTCCCTTGAAAATAAGCCGGACTCCCAGTTTGATTGAGGAACCCTGACAGACTTCAATGTAGCAAAACTGAGTATTTGAGAGAGCAACATGTATAGGTGTACTGGAGACACAGGGTTATACTGGCCCTAAGGTTTGAATCTGACACATTTAGGAAAACTCCTCGAAAAGTCTACATTTTCCCAGAAACAAAGAAACAAACAATCAAACAAAAAATTACTGAACAGATCAGCAATTCTGGTTTTTAATAATTTCCTTCCCTTCATTTTTTAAAGAAAAGCTTCTTAGGCAAAACTCTTCAGGAAGCAAAGCATTCAAAACTTCACATACACCTCTATATAAACACCAATCTCAATAGAAATCTCAACTGCCTTGGCAGTTCTTTTGGTGTTAAAGATGTCACCCTTCCATTTCTTAAAAGAAAGAAAGAAATCTGGCCTGTGTTTGTTGACTGCAAATTTCAAACACAAGTAAATGATCCATGAGTTAATCTGAACAGTTAAGCAATGAGACAACGAACAATGACCAGCTACTGTTAAGAAATGTGGCAGCCTAAAGGACCTGGGTGGAGGGGGTGGGTGGGTGGTTGTGTTGGCGGGCTGAGTTAAGTCCACATTTTTTCTGTCCGTTTCTTACTCGTTTGTTTCTTGGAGTGCCTAAGGGTGCAGCTATCAGCGTAGTCACCCCAGGCTGGATTGAGCTAAACAAGATTTTTTGAAAATGTGGTCTGAGATGTGTATAACAATCCTTGCCTCCATTCTCAAGGATCGGGTGGTTTCAGTGCAGGAAGTGACACCACACCTCAAATAGACTTCATTTAGCCTGTTTCTTCCTCTGAGCCTCCATGCCTCCCTATCCTCTCCTATATCACTTCTACCAAGGGTGAGGGGGAAGCTGATCTCTCCCCCCGCCCCCAGTCTACTGTTAAGTGACATATGACTGCATTGGCTGCCCACCTAAGTTAAACAGAGCTGGAGTGTAAGGAAAGGAAAGGAAAGGAAAGAGGGGTGGATAGGGGTGGATAAGGGTTGGTCTGGTTCACTGTTTCCTGTATTTTATGTGGTTGCCAGAAAAAGGAATAAACCTGCCCGTTCTCAAACCAGACCAAACTATGGACCCAATTACTGTCTGATCACAACACAAGATGCACTAGTAGTCGCTACCAAGATTCATGCTGCAGATGAGTTATGATATTTTTCATTTATTTTTCCCATTTAAGAATTGCTTGTGCACGCAGATGTTTAAAGGGCTAATTTCCTGAGTTGAGAAATAAGCATCTGAGGAACCCAAGATAAGCCTGAAATGAAAGCTAAGATAAGCCACGTTGTGGCTTCATTTGTTTCTAGCACCATACCTTCCTCAGCATATTAATTCTATCGATGTTTAGAAAGGACATAGGGTCTGGCCTGGTTAAGACTTGGATGGGAAATCACAAGGGAATCCCATGGATCTCCCACTGGAGCTACAAAAGAACGCTACATAAAATCATGGAGCAACGGGACCAGTCACGAGTTGATAAATACTGGACAAAATGGACCAACAGCCCAACTTAGTAGTATAAAGGAGCTTCATTTGTTCCTTCCCATGTTCCTATCTTACCACCACCTATCATCATCACCATCATTATCATCCTAGAACTGCAGAGCTGGAAAGGATCCTGTTGATCACAGAGTTTAGCTTCTATCAAGGAATCCCAACCTAAACTACTGAGCTATCCAGCAGTTCTATGACCAATTTAACAGTGGATGCCCTTCTCTGATGGCTTCTTCCTTGAACACAGAATTTGATGGTGGTGTGGTGGTAGGGACATATTCCAGACAACATAATCCACCGTTTGTAACCCTTCATTTTTTTGGCTGCTTCTTCTGTTTTTATTTTTCCAGAGAAAGAATTTGGGACTTGTTAAAGAGAAACCAATGGAAGGACTGCACAATGCCGGTTGTTGTAGTGGGAGCCCAATGTGTGGCAGCACTCATTAAAACTCAGGGAGCTCCCGTGAGGGCTTTTGCCATGCAATTTCACTGCCTCCTTCATGAACGTTTACAGGAGGTCCAGACCCTTCTGTTAGTTGGCATCCAGCTAAAATTTTCCAATTATTTCTTCCCATTCTTTTCATGACCAAAAAGGGGGCCTTCTTGTTAGAGTGCTTCTATCTTCTATAATCAAAAGGCACTGTGCTGCGATCATTCCACAACAAATGAACCCTAATATGTTTTCCCCCCTTAAGAGGAGAGAGAGAGAGAGGAAAACACAGGAGGGCTACAAATTGAAGACATCTGAACGGAGAGAGAGAGAGAGAGAGAGGAAAACACGGGAGGGCTACAAATTGAAGACATCTGAAACTCCCATAAGCTTCCATGAATGAGGAACATCATGGCACAGTGAAAGGCTTGTTTGGAAGAAACCATGAAATCCATTAATGAAAAACAAACAAACCCCAGAATAGCTGCAGAACGGTCTGGATCCAATTAATGAAGAGTTTCAGCTAGAAGAGACTTAGTGGATCAATGAGATTTACCTTAGAGTTAGCTGCCCATGTGGCAATCTATTCAACAATTCTACTTAAGATGATTTGAGTCAATGGCTTTTCAATTTGAGCAGCGGGGCCCTTCTATTTTGAAGCCCCCACCGTTTCCTAATGTAGATTTTTAGGGGCCTAAATAAAGATATCACCTGTTCTACATCTGGATTGCGGAAAGCAGGGGTTCTCAATCTTGGGTAAGGATCTGGATTGCGGAAAGCAGGGGTTCTCAACCTTGCGTAAGGGGGTGTTCTTGGACTGCAGCTCCCAGAAACCTTGGCCGGCACCGTAGGTGGGGAAGGCTTCTGGGACTTGCCGTCCAAGAACATCTGGGCTACCCAAGGTTGGGACCCACTGGTGTAAAGGACCACAGGGCTCTGTCTCTTGTTTTTAAAAGAACGGGCAGATTTCCACAAGGGAAGCGCTGAGTTATTTTAATGTCTTCCTCTCTTAACACTTCCTGTGCCTTTCACTGCTGACTGGGAGGCAGGCTTTCAACGGGGGATACGTTTCCTGGCACGACGGCGTAGGAGTGGGTAAAAAAAGGCGGGCAAGGTGGGGGGCTGCCCTCCAGTTCGTCTTAATCCATCCCACCCCCACCCCAATTCCCAGCGTGAACGGGAATCAAACGGATGATCGGGGAATCCCTTTACGCCACAGCCCCCGAGCCCTCCCCGCCTCTCCTCTCCCTGGTCCAGAAGTGGGAGAGCCCTGGGCCGCGCCCGCGCACCTCGAACTCCCTGGTGCCGGAGATGGGGGTGCAGAGCGCGGGATCCTGACAGGGACAGGCGATGCCGGCGCCCAAGCGCAGTTGCTGGAGGAGAAGGAAGAGCGCGGCCAGGAGGAGTCGCACGCCCGCAGCCCCTCGCAACGTCTCCATGCTGCCGGAGGAGGGCACCCAGTCGGGGGAAACCGCCTCGCCTCCGCTCCGCCTCTGGCTCTGGCCCTGCGCGCTTCGCGAGGAGGCTTCAATCGTCCCTCGGGCGTAAGAAGAGGCCGGGGCGCCCGGGCGCCGGTGCCTTAAAGAGGAAGAGAAGCCGCCCCCCGGTTGGCGCCGCCCAGAAAAGGGCTGGGATCGCCTCGCGGGGGGTGGGAAGGATCCG